AGACAAATATTTAGGACCTTGGCTAAATCTAACAATTTTAACTATTTGTCTTCTATCCTCCAGACTTTGTAAACTTTTGGAGACAGTAATAGATCTTACTCATCTTTGGAATCCCTTACAATTGTGTTTGCCAGATTTTTGGATTTCACAGATGAAACATGATTGGATTTTCTTTCAGGGGTAAACAGTTTTTTTATTTTGGTAAATAAAAGTATTTATAACCATCATCGCTTTACTAAAGAAAACCAGGTAAACATGAAAAACTGACACAAACTCTCAAATCATTTTATATAATTATGTATAATCATATAATTATATTAGTCATTAAAAAAAATTTATTTTTTTTATTTTGGTAAATAAAAGTATTTATAACCATCATCGCTTTACTAAAGAAAACCAGGTAAACATGAAAAACTGACACAAACTCTCAAATCATTTTATATAATTATGTATAATCATATAATTATATTAATCATTAAAAAAAAATTTACCTTTACAAAATACTCATTACATTGTCCTTGTGTGTGGGCGCCTGGGTGGCTCAGATGGTTAAGCGTCTGCCTTCGGCTCAGGTCATGATCCCAGGGTGCTGGGATTGAGTCCCGCATCGGGCTCCCTGCTCCTTGGGAGCCTGCTTCTCCCTCTGCCTCTCTCTCTCTGTCTCTGTCTCTCATGAATAAATAAATAAAATCTTTAAAAAAAAAAACATTGTCCTTGTGTGTGCGTGTGCGCGCGTGCGTGTGTGCGTTTCTAAGGCAACCAGGCAATGCTTCCAAGCAGTGTGGCGCTGCCCAGCTGCCCCGTGTTTGGGAGCTTCAGCGGTGTGGTGTTTGCTCGAAGGCCTGGCACAACTTTTTGACTTTTTTGTTTTAGTTGCCCGGGAGGGTGAATTCAATTATACCTCAACTGCCTCATCTATCCTCTCTTCTCCCTCCATCCCTGGGCTCATGTGCTCTCCTCCAGGCCTTTAAAACCTTCTAAGGGGTGAATTTTCACTCTAAGTTGCCTCAAGAACCTCAGAAGTATAGGGGAAAACAAAAACAAAAACAAAAGCCTTGCCTATCTCAAGGCCTCAACAGATGATGCTGTTGGCAAAGCAGATGTGACTATTAAGTGGGACCTGATTATATTTCTTTCTGAAGACAATTTTTCTTTTTCTTTCTTTTTCTTTTTACTGAATTCTTATTTTAAGCTCCCCTTCCTAGAATTTTAGAAAGTTAGAGCTAGAAAGGTAACCGCAACTTCTAGTCCCAATGCCAGACCTACCGAATTGGGACTTTGAGGGGTAAGATCCATAAAATCTAGGATCCGAGTTCCACTGGTCCACATGCCCTCTTAGTAGGTATCAAAGGGCAATCTGTCGTTTTCCAGGAGAGGTGACTGAGCACCACAGAGTGAAGTCACTATTATATAAATAGGCGGCAGACACAGGTGAAGAGCACAGCACTCAACTTTCTTAGCAAATTAATGGACTCTGTTGGGGAACAGGAAGGGCAGGGAAAGGTGTTCATTAATTTCTGTTCATCTGTATAGTAGAAAGTTCATGCTGGGTGTAGAGAAATGAAAGACCAAGAAGATTTACCTTGAGCAATAGCAACATCCATCTGGCATCTGTTCTGGGATTTCACGGTTCACTAAACAGTTCTCTTGTCTTGCTTTGATCCCCAGCACAACAAGATTTAGCAAGGTGGTGGTGTTTTCTACCTTAACTTTGCAGAGGAGAAAATGGAGACACAGTCACCGTGCTTACTTGGCCATAAAAGAGGTGGAGTGAGATTGGCCCACTTTCTAGTACTTAATGTCACTTAGATGTGCTAAGACAGGCCAAAGTCTTTGTCAGTTAAAAATTTACATGTTTCAGGGCACCTGGGTGGCTCAGTTGGTTGGGCATCTGTCTTTGGCTTGGGTCCTGATCTCAGGGTCCTGGGATCGAGCCCCACATCGGGCTCCCTGTTCGGAGGGGAGCCTGCTTCTCCCTCTCCCTCTGCAGCTCCCCCTGCTTGTGCTCTCTCTCTCTGTGAAATAAACAATTAAAATCTTAAAAAAAATTTACATGCTTCAAAAATGATTTTGTGTTTCAAAAGTCACACAAGTTCTATATAAGTATTATAAGAAAATCCAAATCATTCAGAAAAATATAGATTAAAAAGAAGAGTGAGTTTTGATGTTTCCTTTCCAGACCTTTTTCTATGAGGTTACATGCATTTATAGTTAAGCCTGCCTTCTTTCCTTCCTTTTCCTTCCTTCCTTCCTTCCTTCCATCCATCCATCCATCCATCCTTTTTAATGGCTCAATCTATACACATTGCTGTGCTTTGTTTTTCTCAACATTATGTCTTGGCCATTTTTCCAAATTCTTAAACAGAGATCTACCTCTTTGTTTTTAAGTGAGCCATGTTTGAAAACTGAATAGCAACATTTGTGTACACTGATGATAAAGAAATATTATATTTAACACCAATATGTAATAACTGACTTGATGGTGTGAGGAAAGGGGTACTGATGCTCAGAAATGGGGTAAACTGACTCTGATAATGTCAGTTTAGTAATTTTCCCTGAAGAACAGGGACTTCAGAATCAGAATCACAAACAGCTTAACAAAGCCTTGAAAAAAGTTAGCAAAGAGCTGTCTTAGTTTTCCCATCTATAAAATGGGGATACGAATAACACATGTCCATAAAGTTATCGTGAGGATTAAAAAAGAAAATTTACATGAAATGGTCAGCACAACAACCGAGGAAGACAATGATGATGAGGCCAAATCTCCTGGTCCGGAAAGGTCGGGTCGGAGTTGGGACAGCGCGGTGGGGCTTAAATTGCGAGGTAATCAATACTTAGAACTGATGGTCCAGGAGATATTTTTTATTAAGAGCTACGAAATCAATGTCTGGGGTGTCCCCTGGAGACGGCTGAGACCACGAGACTCCAGCTTTGGAAACCTCAACGTTCCAGGCTTTCGAGCTGTGGTGTTTGGCCAAACCTGTGTGGGAACAAAGACTACAATTCCCAGGCTGCATCACTCCAGCCCCGCCCCGCCCCGCCCTGTCCCGCCCCGCTCACGTTGTTGCGTATCGCCTAATTCTCGCCAGGCTCCCGGCCGGAACTACGAATCCCGGAAGACCTTGCAGCACCGGTCCGCCTCCCGGCCCATCACTCCCACTTTGTCAAGCGCATCTGTGGCCGCGTTGCCCTTTGGGAGGCGTAGTTCTGCGGTGACCGGGCCCCTCCCACTCCAGGCCCAGGCGCGGCAGTAAGGCGGGCGAACTGGCGGCGGTGGACCCGTTCCTGATCGCCCACCCGGAAGGCTAACCTGGCTGGGCAGGACTCTGGAGACGCTCCTGGGGTCGGGGTGGCCGCGAACGTGGCTCGAGTTCCACGCCTGTACGGGTGAGAAAGCGGACGAGACCAAATGCCAGCTTGAAAGAGGGAGTGGGCCAAGGGGACGGGTGAATCCAAGTGGAGATAATAGGGGTGGGAGTGGGGCGTGGCGTTTAGTGCCTGGCCGGCTGGAGGCGCCAGCGCGAATCCGGTGGAGCAGGGCTCCCGGCAAAGAGAGGCAGCGGGGAGTCTGGGTGGTGGGATGTCTTTTAGGGTTTGGGGCTGATCAGTGAGACTTCTTCATTCCCTGGCCTCTCCTCCCCTGGCTCGTGGAGGCGGCGGACCCGGCCGTGGGCCTGGAGAGTTTGGGGGCGTAGGGGAGCCCTGGTTGGAAAGTTAGGAGTGTGTTACCCAGGGAGCCTGAGGGCTTCAGCTCTGCCCCGGGAACAAAGCCTTTCCCAAATCCTTCCTAACTGGTGTTTGGAGGAGGTGAGAAGTCTCTGGGGGTACCATGGAAACCCATATGTTTTGGAGCTCTGCCCAAAGGGAGTCTTCAGCAGCAAGGAAAGCTTTGAACCCTTCAGTCTCAGCAGTGCTGCTGGAGTCATCCCCATGTCATTGTTGTAAACATTACATGTCAGTGGGTTGGGTGGAGGCTTAGTCTGACCCAAGCCAGAGAAATTGGGGTCCAGCTCCTTGCTTCTAGCATATTGTAAAAGATTGTATGGTTCATAGAGAATGTCCTGAGTAAATTAATTGAAAAAAATCAGGATACAAAACAATGTATATAAAGATCCTTTTTTGTAATAAATACACGTATCTCCTAAATATGTGGCATGTATCTATGGATACGAATAGAAAAAAAAAAAAAACTAAACTACATTAAACCACCAACAGTGCTTATTGATGGGTGGTGAGATTACAGATTAATTTTACTCTTTTATGTACATCTTTTTGTAGCATCTGAGTTTGTACAATGAGCATGCATTACTTTTTTTTTTTTTGCTTATTTTTCCAAAAAGTCACAGTTGCTCCACGGTGGTGCATTTTGGAAGGCAGGCACTAAGGTTCACTGCTTTGTGGCTTGCACCTGGCCACTTGCAGCTTGGTTTGCCAGCAATGATAACAGGATTGAATTAAAGGGGTGAATTTAGCATGCAGTCTATGTGAAGCTAATGTTTCTTCCCTTCTTCCAGTTTGGCAGGAGTCTGTTAGCAAGTGTCACACCATGGTATGTGGCTGTTTTGGTCTATGTCAGTTTAATCCGTTATTCTGGTTTGAAATGTCGTCTTATTATCTGATAGATTGGGATGCACTGCATAACTTCCTTGGGATCTGCTAACTCACATTGGCTGGGGATGAGAGGGAGAATAATACTGCTGCTAACATACCTTTTTAGTTTTGGATTCCATCTCACCTTGCTCTTTGCTTTTTTGTCAGGGTCTTTGTTTTCGTATATGCTACCTACTATCCCTGTGTGTGTGTTTAATAATAAAAGAAACCTTTAACATATCCCTTGATTGTGCAAATTATGCATTTCCTGGAGGAAAGCTTGTTAAAATCAAGGTAGAAGTATGAAAAATAAATATATTTAATGTTTATTTCAATATTTTTTCTTCCTCAGCTTCTGCCAAGTTTCTGATTAAAGATTGACATCCCTGCATAAGCATTTCCCTGTTAAAATGTCCTTGCCTCTTACAGAGGAGCAGAGGAAAAAAATTGAAGAGAACCGGCAAAAGGCTCTGGCCCGTAGAGCTGAGAAATTATTAGCAGAACAGCATCAGAGCGCAGGCTCTGGCTTCTCCACTGTTGCCACCAACTCTTCCCAGTCCAAGCAGGGCCCTCCCCCAAACCTCCCCAGGGATCCTTCTAAGCCAGTGAACCATGGTGTTGTTTTCATGCAACAGAATCTCAATAGTTCATCTAGTGATGACCAAAGACCGCATTCCCACAGTTTTCATCTAAGCACTCCAGAGCAGGCAAAGGGGATCTGGAAGAGGCAAGGAGATGTGCCCACAGCCTGCCCAGGCCACAGCCCATTAGGTCAAATGACTCTCACTGGCATCTCTCCTCCCTTGGCACAAAGTCCTCCAGAGGTCCCCAGCCAACAGCTGTTGGGTGGTACGTTAGGTCAGGGTCATCCTCAGGCTTCACACGAAATCAGATCCACACCCTTCACTAACAGAACTCGTGAGCCTTTGGCCAAAGCCAGGAGTCTCCAGAAGACACCAGCTTCTTTCTTTGGACAGCCACCCAGGGATCCTGGAGTAGAGGCCAAGGCAGTGAGGCCCTCTACCTCGGGGCAGGACATTTCTGACACAAACTGTGGCTCAGGGAGCGTGGCACCTGGGACAGAAGGAAGACACCCACAGAAATTGGGGGCCTCACTCCACAAAGCAGGAAGCTCCCAGAAGGGAACGTGCATAAGGAGTGGGGATCGTTTCCAGGTGAAGATCGGGTACAATGCAGAGCTCATTGCGGTTTTTAAGCGTCTACCCAGCAGAAGTTACGGTAATGAGGCTTCGGTCTTGTTCTTCACGTGTTTTTTTTTTTTTCTATTGTCAAAGTCTCTTTTAATCTAACAGTTTCTCATAAATATGAAGAGAGTGCATTGGCACATTCTGTCCATCCAGTTGTGGAAATTTTCTGTGTTAGCTCATGTTTCCTTTTGTAATAGACGTTCCTTCCAACAGCGGCCAAACTTGGGGGCTGCCACGTGGCCAAATGGAGAATGGATGAATATTTACTGAGAGGCCAGTTCCCTGCAGGGTGCTTTGTTTGTGTTGTAGCACTAAAGCGTAACAACAGTTCTTTGAGATAAGTAAATGTTATTTCCATTTTAAAGGCAATAGGACTGGCTCAGTAAGGTGAAGTAAGACGCTCTTGTTGCTTTCTCTCGAAGGGCAGAGCCAGGATGTGCTAGCTCAGCATCAGCCCAGAGGGCCTGCTCCTTATTCTGTTTGCCTGACTAGTCCCATCTCTGTCCTCAGCCCTCTTAGGCGAGGCCATAACGTTCCAGGGCCTGATGAGTTCCACCATATGGAGTAAAAGCACTCTCCTCATTTGTATTTGCTGTTTGTCCCCCACAGGGATTTTGTACATCCATAGGGACTCTCAGTCAACTGTTTTTCGAACCGAGCACTCATTCATTCATTAAACAAGCTTTTACTGAATGACTCAGTACGACTCAGAACGACAGTCATCACTCTCGTTATGGGCAAACCAAGTACTTCTGTTTCATTTCAGATCCTGCCACCAAGACGTGGAACTTCAGCATGACCGACTACAGTGCCCTAAGTAAGTAGGCATGTCATTGCCCTGCATGCAGGGAAGTCCTGGTATTGAGAAGCTCCTACAGCAGCAGATGGGGTCTAGCTTATGGTTTAGATGGCATTTAGGGTGCTACCCCAGTGTCCTTCTCCCTTCTCACTCATGGCCAGCCTATTGAGGCAACTCCTTGGATGAAGGTCACTATATTAACAAAAGCTAGCACTTACTGGATCTGCTCTGCCGGGTTGTTCTAAGCCCCTTTATACAGGCATACCTCGGAGATATTGCGGGTTTAGTTCCAGACCCCGGCAACAAAGCAGATAGCACAATAAAGTGACTCGGATGACTTTTTTGGTTACCCAGTGCATATAAAAGTTATGTTTATACTATATTGGAGTCTGTTAAGTGTGCAGTAGCATTATGCCTGAGAAAACAATGTACAGGCCTTAATTTAGAAATACTTGATTGCTGAAACGTTACAACCATCACCTGAGCTTTTGGCAAGTTGTAATCACTGATCACAGATCACCAAAACAAACGTAATAATAATGAAAGAGTTTGAAATATCGCAAGAATTAACAAAATGTGACACAGAGACAGGAAGTGAGCAAGTGCTTTTAGGCAAATGGCACCAATAGACTTGGTCCATGCAGGGTTGCCACAGACCTTCACCTTGTAAAAACAACTCTGTATCTGCGAAGTGCAGTACAGTGAAGAGCAGTAAAATCAGGTATGCCTGCATACGCTAACTCTTCTACTTCTCACAACAACCGTTTTTACAGATGGGAAAACTGAGGCCCAGGGAGGATAAGTAACTAAAATTGGGTCGCACAGCCAATGAGTTGTACGCCTGGGATTCAGACTCAGACAGCCTGACTTCAGAGTCCATGTTCCCACGGCGCAGCTGGCTCCAGCCATGACAGGCAGCCGGGCTGCCCTGACAGGAGCGGCTCAGCCAACAGCCCTGTCCTCACAGCTTTCCATGTGTTCAGTTCCCTTGAGGGTGCAGGGAAAAGGTGTTGCCCCATCAGGCTCCAGCGGACCCCATTAACCCAGTGTGGTCCGTTGTCAGAGCCCTCGAGGGCACCCCTCTGTCTTCTCAGATTTTGTTGACTCTTATACGAAGGTTTTCGTCACCTCTTGATGCCCGGAGCCTCTACCTCTGCCAGCACATCAGCCCTGGATGTTCTGGCCTCCCATTTTCCTCCTCTCTTCCCGAAGCCATTTCAATGCTCTCTCTTTCCCCACCCAGTTCAAAAAGGGGAAAGGCGGCGGGCGCTTGGGTGGCTCAGTTGGTTGAGCGACTGCCTTCGGCTCAGGTCATGATCCTGGAGTCCCGGGATCGAGTCCCGTATCGGGCTCCCTGCTCAGCGGGGAGTCTGCTTCTCCCTCTGACCCTCCTCCCTCTCATGCTCTCTGTCTCTCATTCTCTCAAATAAATAAATAAAAAATCTTAAAAAAAAGGGGGGGGGAAAGGCGAAGATGCATGACGAGGAGGTCACTTTGCAGGTGTGGGGCCTGGGGTAGAATTCTCTGGAGTCACCAGCACAGTTTTGGGGGGAGGGGGATGGGACAGCCAGCTGCACAATCTCCCGTGTCTTTCCTTGGCGTCCACCTCTTTAAATGCGTGGCATTGGGTGGTTCTTTGGTAGTTGCTGCTGACCTTTTGTGGGGGCTGGTGGGGGGGGGGGCGGCGCTCACTTTTACTGTTATTTTAATCCCTGTGTTAGGTGTTGGGAGGGGGAGAGCCCATACTCTGGATTAAGACTGCAGGTTTCAACACCTGGGTTTCTCATTTTTGCTCATTTTAAACCATTGATTTCCACGACCATAGTTTTGTTTGTATTACCGTTTTCTTCCTCCCGCGCTCACAATGCATGGTGACTTGGATAACTTCTGCTTTTGCAGATTGATTTTGGTTTTCTGTGTGGTATGGTTGCTTTTGGTAATGCCCCACATCTTTTTTAAAAACTGGTTATTGGGGACAAAATTCTCTATATAACTTTTGGATGAATTTTACTGATTATGAATTATTTAAAGATTTTTTTTTTTTAATTTATTTGACAGAGAGAGTGAGAGACACAGTGAGAGAGGGAACACAGCAGGGGGAGTGGGAGAGGGAGAAGCAGGCTTCCCTCCAGGCAGGGAGCCCAATGCGGGGCTCGATCCCAGGACCCCGGGATCATGACCTGAGCCGAAGGCAGACGCTTAACGACTGAGCCACCTAGGCGCCGCCTGATTATGAATTACTTAACTCATCTTTGGCCTTACCAGCATTTCATACACTTGGCTTGCTGTTTACTGAGATGCGCCTTGAACACTTGCACGTGATTGTGGAGTTGTGCGTTTGTCCTTGTTCTTTTTTTCCCGCGGTACAGTTGACACACGGTGTTACATTTGTTGCATGTGTACAACGTGGGGATTGGACGACACCATGTTAGGTTGTGCTCTTAATTTTCAGATAGTTTTTATGATGTGCCTTCCTAGTAGGTTATCCTTTTTATCAATGTAGCGTGTAAAGACTGTCAGTCTGTCATTTTGCTGTAGGCATACCTGTGGATTTTGCCATTTTAACCCTCCCATACATACATTGTAGAACATGCGGAAAGTACATCATCGTGTAAAGAATAACAGCTGTTCCCCTGTAATCTCCTTAGTTAACCACTGTTAGCATTTGGTTTTGCTCCTTCCAGCCTTTTTTCTGTGCGTTAAAATACACACATTTTATCTACATAATATAATTTTTATCTTGCTTTTTTTTACTTAGTGTTCCAGCAGAAGTATTTTTATTTTAATGGTGAATGTTAGCCACTAATTCTGAGCAATGACAATACAGGTATCCCTTATTGTACACTTTGAGCCCGAAGAAAATGATTTCATACTGTTGAACTTAATATTGGTTTTTGTATTTTTGTCTTTTCCAAAACTTCTCCCTAAAAAAAAATTAATGGCTGTATAACATTCCATGGTATAATTGTGTCATAAATGGCTTAAATCATCTCCTTTTTGTTTCACTTGTCTGCTCCCAGTTTGCCCGGGATTAAAGCTGTAGGAATACCTTTCTCTGTAACTCTGTATTTTCGGTTGTTAGTTTGGGCAGATTCCTGGAAGTGGAATCATGATCACTGTTTAGGACTCTTGTTCTAGATTGCCAAATTTTTCTTCAAAAGGTTTATTCCCAGCTAGCAATGCAGACACGTGGTTGGTTTTTTTTTTTTTTAATCTTGCAAATTTGATGAGTAAAAATGGCTTTTTATTTCTCTGATTATTTGTGAAGTTGAACATTTTTCCAGAAGTTTGTTACATTCTGCCCCCGCCTCCCAAGTTCATGACATCTCTGTCTTACATTTTGTGGTCTTAGTATTTTCTCAAGTGCCAGCTCTACTCCGATTTCTTGCAAAAATCTTTATTTGGTAGTTTTGCCTTTCGATTCCACTTGGGTTTTTTTTTTTTTTGACAGTTTATATAGTTTTATGTAGTCAAATCTGCTAATCTCTACAGTGCATCCGTAACATAAAATCAGGCTCAAAACTGCATTTGTGGGCTGATGGTTCTGTCTCTTTCCCTGGCTCTCCAAGTAGGAGCAGCGGGGGCCTGGGGATCGGGTTAGGGGGGCGATTCCTGGGCTGTTGGCTTCAGTGGCTGACACAGCAGCAGCAATTATCCATTAAGTTCGTGCATCTTAGTGAGAACCCTCCTTCCCCTGTTCATTTCTGAGTTGCAGGTTTTGTAACTTGAATGCTTAAGGAGCAGAAGTTACATTCAGTGAAGACTGGACTTCCCCATGCCCCAGTGAAAGTACACTTGCAAGCCGTCCTGATCTAACCATGCTTCTTTCCTCCCCGTGTGGAAGTCAGGCACCTTATCACCTCTCTCCTTTTCTTCCATAGTGAAGGCAGTCCAGAGCCTCCCCACGGTAACCCTGCAGCCTTTGGAAGGGGCGGAGGACAGCAGGGAGTCACCCTCCACTGCTGGTGTGGCCCAGACCTGCCTGCCTGCAGCTCCCTCCCTGGCCTTTGTCAAAGGGCAGTGTGTGCTCATCTCCCGGGTCCGCTTCGAGGCAGACATCGGCTACTCCGAAGACCTGATTGCACTGTTCAAGCAGATGGAGTCCAGAAATTATGGCAAGTAATTGGCTCTTGCCTGATTCCTGGGATGCAGAGTGGTCTGTGATCTCCGAGCAGGTTATTTTCCTCTCTGTTTGAATGTTCAGAAATGACTTGTGTCCTTAGGAGAGCTTGAAACACAGACATATGCCATAAAAGTAAATGCCCTTGGGTAGACTGAGTCCGTGGTTGTCAGACAGGAGCACGCATCCTAACTGCCTGGAGGACTTGTTAAAGCAGATTGCCAAGCCCCACTCCCAGAGCTATCCCTGATGCCTGGTGCCCACCCAGAGATGCTGATTTAATTCATTGTAGGTGGCCAGAATTGGAAACCACTGGCCCAAGCAGAGCAGTTCTGCTTTACTTTTTGTGAGGCTCTTCAGAATCAGGCGCAGAAGTTGTATTAGAATTTGGAACTGCTGGGTTTCATTCTCAGCCTGGGCCATGTTGCTTTACAAAACCACGTGGCTTTTATGGATCCCTATTCTTCTATCCTTGAAATGGTTTTAGTCTTTTCCTTAGGTAAGTAGGAAGCAGACCCGTAACACCTCATGTTTCTGAAACCTCGTGCTCAGGCGATGTCATGGAGGTAGCCTCTCCAGAAATACTTGCTCCGTGAGCTTTCCTCAGGGTTTGGGGCTCCTTCAGGAGGAGGGTGATGCCGGCTATTACATTTGTATTCCTTGGATAGAGTTTTAACTCACAAGGGCAGCCTACTGATAGGACTTAAGGGAGACTGGCCGGGTCTGGCCTGAGTCATGAGATGGGCCAGATGCATGAGAGCCAGCGTTCTTGGCCTCCTCTGCTCCCTTGGATTTTCAGCTTCAGTGTGGGGTCACCCTTACAGGCCAGTGCATATGGCCTGTGTGCATTCCGCCAAGTGGGAGAATACCCCACCCCTGACGTGATCTGTTAGATTATACCTGGGCTACTTTGCTTTTCCCCGGACACCGACTCACTGTGTTTATGCTGCTCATTCCCTCAACACCTGGCTTTCTCAGTGATGATGCAGAGAAGACTTAACGTCTGCTGTCCAGAAGGCATTTATCTAGCAGAAGCTGTCGTGATTTTCTCAGAAGTAGATCGATAGGGAAACTCTAAGAACTTAGCTGGTGTTGGGTACTGAGATGCTCGCCCTTCTTGGTCGGTATTGTATGTGGTGTGGGCTGCACCGTACTAATTAGCAGATGGTGTCATACTACTAACAACAATAATAATTTATAATTGCCAGCTTTCTTTTGAGCGCTCATTGTTTGCCAGACGCATGTTCATAAGCATTTTATTTTTTATTTATTTATTTGGGGGAGGAGGAGGTGAGGGGAGAGAGAGAATCTTAACTGACTGAGCCACCCAGGTGCCCCACTGTAAACATTTTGCGGCAGGGGCTGCAGTGTCCTAATTTCTCAGGTGTGGGCACTGAGGCACAGAGAAGTTACATAATTTGCCCAAGGTCACGCAGGAAGTGGCAGAACTGGGATTTGAACATAGGCTGTTTGACCACTGACCACATGCAGCTTGTTTCCCGTGTTTGAAAGAGAGCTAATAACAGTGCCCGGCTCTTAGGGTCGTGAGGAGCAGAGGAATGGCACATGTGAGTCTCTTGGCACCATGCCTGGCTTCAAGTAAGCACTGATTAAATGTAAGCTACTATTGTTACCGCTGTCTTGGAAATGGAGGGCATTTCTGACCTTGTGGGGCATCCCTGGTCACGGATGCCCGTAGGTCCCCATAGGTCCCCGTAGGACCCTTCGTCACCTTCTTAACGGCGTAGTATCATTGCTGTGTCTGCTTGTCCTTTCTCCCTGAATTCTGGGACAGCCTCGAGGGCAGGTACCCTCCGTTTCTGTATCCCCAGTGCCAGGCCCAGGCCCAGCCACAGTGTCCTAGCTTACTGGAGATTTCTGGAACCAGGGAATGAATGAGTAACGTAGTGACCCAGGAGGAGGGCGCAGGGTGTCACGCTTGCTTGTTTGTTTCTTGTCATTGCAGATGTCAAGACCAGGAAGTGGAACTTTCTCTTGGAAGAACACAATAAACTAAGTGAGATGCCTACCTTGCTTGTTTTATATCATGCTGGTGTTAAGCTTTCATTGTCTGTCTTAAATTTAACATATTTTAAAGGAAGACGACTTCCCCACCGCCCCCGATTCCCGCGTGTGGTAATTTTACGTGCTCGTGCACAGGACAAGTGAGGGCGAAGATGTTCCCAGGCAGCTGAGATGGTGGCTTTCCAGCCGCCCAGCAGACGCAGGGCGTCTTCCATCAGAGTATGGCGGTGCTCATCAAATTCCTAAGGCCTGTGAGAGAAGTGTTAGATGGGGACTTTGGGCATCGGACGTGAACTAGGTCTGCTTAGCGTAGATGGGAGCCACTGTAGATTCCCTCTAGGAACAGGCTCTCGGTTTACTTCTAGAACCAGATGATCAGTGAGAGTCAGAGGGTCTGAGTGGTTATGGGCTTCGTAATAGGCCTGGATGCACATTCGTTTAATAAGCACTTTGGAGACTGACCAAGGGAAGGGATGTGTGTACGGGTGTAAGAATAGGAAGGAGAAGCCTGTTTGGGCTCACCATTCGTCTCTGTGCTCTGCATGGACAGGGCAGTAAATTCTAGTGTGCCTGAGAAAGGGGGATGTGGGCATGGCTCAGCCTGTCCTGGTACGCCCATCTGTCACCCATCTACCAAGCTGTCACACGCCCGCAGTGGGTCTGCAGCTGGTACAACTTAGGTTCTTCCAGCTTGGCCCCCTGAGGATGCATTGGGCCTCGCAGCCAGTCTGGTCCCAGTCAGGCCAGGAGAGACAAGCTCCAGCCGAGGAGCTCCGAGTCGTTGCCCATCTTGCCGAGCAGGCCAGGGCTGTCAGCAAGAGGGAAGAGCTGGGTTTCTTCCCTCAGTCTCCTCCTTGTGTGACTTAGGAGGTGACATCAGGCAGGGGCTATCTAACATTCTGGGTCCCCCGGTCCTTTCAGTGAAAGAAGGGGTCTTCAATCCCTACCTGCCCCACTGCCAGAAATTCAGTATAAGGGAAGTGCCTTTGATTCCTTGCAGAGAGACTTGCTGCAAACTCAAGGTTAAGTTTGAATGTGATGAGGTCCTTATTTAGTATCAGCAAATGCCTGACGAGCCGAGACCCCGTGGCCACTGCTGTTGGGAACTTGTGATTCACAGCGAACTATTTGGCCAGAGCTGAATTATTGATGAGCAGTGGGAGTGTTTCCCTCTCGCCCCCTTGTTTTTCAACCACAGAAAGATACATAAAAATGTTAGCCATAAAGACTGACTTTTGTGGACCAACATGTGAAAGCAGGATCCGGACAGAGTTAGCAGAGGAATGTAACAAAAAACCATGACTTGCGACTCATGTGACATTATATAATGGGTTCAAATCTTGTGTAGGCCATAGACTTTGAAATGTCTGAGGAAAACAACGGATTCTTCACCCAGAAAAAATGCACAATAATGGCCACATGTAAAATTTTGCATTTGATATTAAGAACTCCATGGATCTGGAGTTAAGAATTCTAGAGTTAGGGATCAGATTGCTGTTTGAAGTGCTGGCTTGTCAATACAGTGTCTTTATGGAGGAGAAGACGGATTCTCCCCACTTCGTAGATAGTGAAAAGCTTGAACCCAGAGAAAGGAACCCGTTGTTTTCCCTTCCTGGAGCATTACAGGGTCACAATAAAGACCGTGATGGAGATCAGGCCACACAGGTGATCTTGACTTTGTAACGTGACCCATTTGGAAATGTAGAAGCCAGACTCGTGAACAAGAAGCTGAGGAGACGAGGCTCTGCCCAGTGACCCAGCTTAGTCCTGATTCCACTGTTGACTGACTGTAAGCCCAGCGACCCTGCACCTCTCCCCACACCCCAGGTCTTGTTCCTCATGGGCGAAGCTAGCTTACTGACCCTGAGCTAGTGAACGTGTGCATACGAGACTCATTAAGAAATGACAATAAGACCTTCTGAGTATATGAATGCTCACTGATGATGTGGTGATGATTATTTTTCTCCAAATAAGAGGGATCTGAGAGCTTCCTTCTCCCTCTTTTCTCAGTGACTTGAGGCCTTTTGCCCACAGTGAAATTGGCAAAAGGCCTTTTGTTTTCCCCGGGATGTCACAGTCCAGAAGGGTTCTGCATCCCCCTCACTGATCTTGTCTTGTCAGCTGCTATTTGAAAACATTAACATCTCTCTGCTGTGTGGCTCACTAGCATTCTGCCAAAGAGCTATTTTACAGAAATGATTTCTAGATGACTCATGAAGCCAGACAGCACACTCCTGTCATCTTCCAGCCCCTGGAAAGGACATCCGCAAACTGGGGGGCTTTCTCAGAAACACAGCCACTTGGCTGAACTAGCAGCACAGGATTATGGAGGCAGTAGTTCGGTGGGGGACAGGGTGGAGGTTGCTTTCTCTTCTTGAACGGCTGGAAGAACGTAATGCTTACAAAGCACCACATTTCACACCAGCCGGATCATCAGGCCTTTTCTTAGCTTCCATCAGGTATTCGAGTGCTAGCGATCACCAGGATTAAAATGAAAATGGTTTCTGAAAGCACATGGGGTGCTCAGTCTCCTGAAGTGTGCAGAAATCATGTTCAGATTTAATTTGGAGGCATAAAATGTATTTCTCCATCAATATGGGAAGTCTCTTTTATATTAAAGCTGCCAACCTTACCTAATTTCTTCCTGGGGTGATTCCGTTCACACAAGGTGTTTCCAGAAATAACTGGTATATACATTTAGCGAAAAATGGAAATGGATTTAAATATATTGAGAACACAAAGCGACTTAAGGTAGCAGTAGATGGCTCAGCCCTCCATATTCAGATCAGTATTTGCAATGGTAGCCAATGGATGGTGTGGCAATGAACTTGGAATGCCTTGTGAGGATATTAGGAAAACATATAACCGTATGGAATACAGATCCAACAACCTTAGAATTTCAAATAATATTGGGGAGAAATGAAATATACCCAGTTTTTTATTTGGGTCCTTCTACCAGGTTCCTGAAAACAGCCCCTTGGAGGGTTACAGTGACACCCGGGGTGTCCATGCAAGGTAAAGGATAAAGAGCAGTCGAAGATCTGCAAACAGTAGTACTCTTCCAGTTAGGTTTTTCAAAGGACATCTCAAAAGCTACAACCCATAGGACAGTGGGCTGTGATTAGTAGCTAGGTGATAATTCTACCACCAGGGATGTCTAGGCCTATCGTCTTTAATTTTTAACTTGTCTCTCTCCTACCCCCAGAATTATCTGTTTTATTTGTATCTCTGGTTTATTCTTTTTCTGTTTCTCTACTAAATAAAGGGGCTTTTTTTAACCCCCTTCTTAATTTCAAAGTCAGGTGAGGCTAAATTCCTTCAAAAAGCAAGAATCATTGAAATTAATTTGCTTTCATTTCATGTAGATCCCAAGTAATTTTTCCCACTTGAGGTAATGGGTCTGACTGGAAGGGGAGATTTCCCCATCCATTATATAAGGGGATCTGGAACCTGGAAGGCAAGTAAAGACCCCTAAAGACAAGCTTTAATTGAAAGATTCAGAGCAGTGGTCACTCTTGGTAATAGTTTAGACTCTGAGCATAGCAGGAGTGGGTAAATTATTTTTGTAAACAGCCAGATAATAGAGACTTTAGGCTTTGTGGGCTGTGTGGTCTCCCGTCGGCTCCATTCTGCTGTTGTGGCAAGCCCACAGCCATGGGTAGTCCATAAGCAAGTGGTCATGGCTGTGTTCCATCACACTTTCTTTACAAAAGCAGGCAGTAGGCTGGTTTGGCTTGCCAACACCTGCTTTCGAGGCTAGGTGGGGTGCTCTTCGGTCGCTTCCAGACCAAGGGACTTGCCACCCACTTCACCGCTGACGTCACGCTCAAACTCCCCTCTCGCACGGGGAGATTAGTGTTCTCTTAGAGGAAGGCCACAAGGGTGCAGGGCCACTTGTATTTTTATCACTTGGTGGCCTTAGCGTGGACCCTGCCCTTTGTCATTGCTATTGTTGTTTGTAAATAGCCCTCCTGTCCTCCTGATCTTCCTTGGAAACACCTAACCGCTGCTCTGAACAGAGCACAGCGCTTCCTTGCCTATCGGCAGCAGGTAATGTCAAGTTCTCGACTTCTCGAACATCAAAACCCAAAGAAAAAGAGAATGAAAGGACGACAAGATTTATTCATTCTGCATCTTGCTTTTTTTACGAGTCTTTCGGGACTGGTTTTTAAGAATATGGGTCCTTATTTGAATGGGAATAGTAAGATAATTTTTTTTAAGTTACTTTGGGGTAAAAAAGAATCAGTCACAGAAACATCTGCAATTCTTCCCAGGGTCCGTGTAGTGTAGAAAATAAATTTGGCGTTGGTGATTGCCCTCTTATTTGCAGAAACCAGGAGTAGAGAGGGAGCGTTAGCTCTCTAGGTTTATGTACTTGCTCAAGACACGATTGTCAGCCCTTGTTTTCTCTCCAGTTATGTTTTTGAGAAGGGGGCACACAGCAGAATTCCAGTCACTGAGCTCTGTATTTCAAAGCCCCTTCATTGTCCTTAGCTCTCATGGGCATTTCCGTCCAAGTCATACACCTCTGTCCTTTCTAGTCCAGAGCGTGCGCTGCCTTCCGCAAGTTCAGCTGGATCCTCTGCCCAAGACACTCACCCTGGCATTTGCGTCACAGCTAGAGAAGACGTCTCCCTGTCTCACAGAACCCATCCCCGAGGCAGATCTTTCTGGAGTGGACCCCAAGCTTGTGTCCAATCTGCTGCCCTTCCAGAGAGCCGGAGTCAAGTAGGTTCTTGGGTCTTCCTCTCGCTTGGGCTTCATGACTCATACAAACTGGGTTCAGATGCTCTCTTTTAAGAACACTCATCTTTCATGGACGTCTACAAGCATCTAGGCATTACACAGCCAGGTGTGCTGTAAGCAAAGCCTGATTATAACCATTGCTTTCAAATTCCATGAGTTAATCAGGGCTCTGGATCGCAGGTGTGCAGAAACCCAACTCAGACCGGTTCAAGAAAAGAGATTTCTCAGTGTAGGTAGTAGAAAACCAAGGTCTCCAAAGATCTCATCAGAACTCTCTGTCCCACCCCCAGCTTGGCTTTCTCCTCAGTTTGCTTTCTTCTCAGCCAGGTGCTGAGCTCAGCAACCCAGCTTAAGCACCTCTTTCCTGGTGGGCCCGACACTGACGGGCATGAAATCAGGCCTGGTGGGCCTGAAATCTGGTGCCGATGCCAGGACCAGTCGCTGTGGCCTGGGGGCTGGGGAGTCTTATTGGTAAGACTGGATGACAGGCCCATCCCTGGAGCCAGCTGGTAGCTCCCCCTGTCCCTGAGTTACTTGGACTGAGAGTGGAAGGTGGTGGTTTTCCAAAAGAAAGTCAGGGTATTCTTATTACAGACAGAAAAGAAGATAAGCCCACATCATGACCTGCCCTGTTTTCCAGAGCTGCTCGGGAGAAGCGAAATGACAGGTTTGAACTTGCCTTGTAGTGAAAATACTAGAGGTCAGGGAGAGGAAAGAGGGTAAGAGCTTCATCTGTCATTCAGTGGTGTGGCTGGGGATACAGCCCTGGATAAGGGAAGAAAGTAAATCATCATGGACCTGGTGAATGAAGACAGCCTGCCCACAGGCAGCCTGCTCGTGAGGTTTTGGTAAAAGCTTGGCCACTGTCTTGGACAGGATTTTGTTCTTCGATTTGGGCACAGTCACTCTCCCTGCATTCCCGTGGTCCCAGCTCTGCTCACACCCTTTCCCTTGTTTTCTCTCCCAGCTCCATCTGTCTCAGATAACACTCTTTGCACAACTTCATCTTGCTTGAGAGGTTACCCACCCCCACCCCTGGACAGCCTCTGTCTTCGGTGCCCAAGCTCCCCTGGGCTCCATTAGAGATCCTGGGCCCGTGTGATATGTGCTGCCTTGCCAGTCAGGGGTCCCGTCGAATGGCTCTGTGTGGAGGCCCCCCAGGCCTGACGTGAGCCAGAACCAGAGCCTGGCCAGCAGCTTCCATCTTTTTCCCTGTGGTTCTGAAACCACTAATGGTACTTAACAGCCTTTTTTCAAAACTGTGTAGTTAAATCCAGATTTTAACTTTCATTCTCTGAAGAGGAGGATTTTGGTGTTGAGGCAAAAGGGCTGGCAGTTCCATGTTGGTTTTGTAAGACCTACAAGGAAAACACCCTTAAATTTATGGAGCAAAGTCTCTTAGATATATATCAGGTTCCTCCAACATCTAAAAGGTTCCTTTTAACGGATGAGTGAGGTGACACCCAGCATGACAGTCATCTGCCCAAAGTCACTCAGGAGTGGAAATTGGAGCTGAAATCCATGTTTTGTGATGATGAGCGCAGTACTTGTGTTCTATCAACTGCCCTGTCGAAAATGGCGTTCAGCTGTGTGCTTGTTTCTCTGTTAGGCAGGCATTTCCTTTGTTCTCATTTTTGGCCACTTTGTTCCTTAGTTGGGCTACTTCAAGGCAGGGGAAAAAGGAAGGACCACCACTTTCAAGGGTCTCTTCTGCTTTGAGAATGACCAGATGGACAAACCATAGGGACGTTGCAAATGGCCGAAGCAGACGGTCCTTCATGGTGTGTTGCTTAGGTGCCCCCATCCGCCCTGGCCGTCAGTTTTGTAAACTAAAAAGTGAGGTAGAAAATGAATCTTTTTCACACCTGCCTCCCCCATCCATCTGTGTGGAGGGTTGATCCTGGAAATAGTCTAGAAGATTTAACTGGGGCAGATGTGCCGAGAAGAGGCTGGGCCTGTCGGAGAGGTGAGGTGGCACCGTGCCGGGCTCCCTTCCTTGCCATGGAAAGCATATGGTGGTCACGGCCCTGGGGATGCAGAGGGGGTGCTGCCTCCCATGGTGGGCCGCCGTGGCCGCTGGGGGGACAGAGCAGTGCTGTGACATGATGTGTGTTGTCCGCTGAGCCCGGGCGAGCCGGCTCCTGCCACCCGCAGACGCACTGCTCACTTTGCCGCCTTTGCTGAGTGCTAGCTTTCGAAGGGCAGGCAATTCAGAGAGGCCCCCCGCAGCCTGCAACTCCTGTCAGCCGTACTCCCTGCTGATCAGAAGGGGCTACACTCGCTGCGTTGGCTGTGTGAGAAGGGAAGAAAAAGAGCTCGTCAACAGGCTTATTCTCAGGCTTCCGAGCGAATGATCAGTTTTTCAGGAATTGAGATGAAAGAGGGCCGGTGTTTGGAGCAGGAGACCAGACATCTGGCATTTGGGATCCTTTTTGCTTTTCACTGATTCATTTGTGAGTCAAGCAAGTCCTTCTTAGCGTTCATCTTGATTATTTTTCTCTTTTTTGTGGAATAGTGGTTAGAAGAGAAACAGTTGGCCAGCACGTATGTGGTGCCAGGCACTGCAGTCAGTGCCTTAGACATTAGCTCTGTTAAACCCTGATGAGGGTCTCTGGGGCTGAGGCACGAGGAGGTGAGATAACTTGCGGGAAGGTACCCCGCTGCGAAGCGGTGGAAGTGGGATGGCCTGTAGGCCAGTCAGGCTCCCGGAGAGTGGAAGAGCGTGCCCTTCTTCACAAAACGTCAGCAGGAGTTGTAGCGCTGGAGGGCTGAGGGGTCCCGGCGGCTACTGGTGGAGGAGACGCTGCTGAGGCTGGTGCTCCCGGTAGACAGACACCCTGGCGCTGTCCTCCCTCGGCCTGTGCTCTTCTGCAGCGTCCTCTGTCTTTGCCGCTCCTTCCCTTTGCCCCTGTGCATAAATGTCCTGTCTGACCTTGAGAAAGCCTGATTTTGATGCCACCATCTCTTCCTTCTTCCCTTCCCTTCTAGGCAGACTTCTCACGTGAACAAGGCCGCCCCTCCTGGCCCCTGTTTAGGGGCTGTTTCCCAGTCTCCCCCCTCTCTCACTCCCCAGGTCTCTCCTGCACTGGGCTGAGGGGGCTGCCTCTCTTGGAAGCTTCCTCCCTTGGCTTCCGTGACCCAGTTGTCTTCTAGAGCCTCTCTCTACCTTTTGACCACCATTCCACGTTGTCCCTATTTTGACTCTTTAGTATTATTATTGCTATCATGCTGTCCCCTATTGGCTCCTGTCTTCCCTCTCTGGGGGAGCAGGGCCCGTGCTGCGTACTGCGGTGGCCCACACTGAGTGGCCCACACTGAGTATTGCTTTACCTGGTGGCATGATGGTGGGTTAACCCCTGACAGACCGGCCACGCCCCTGTCCTTCCCTCGTCTGCTTTCAGTTTTGCCATAGCGAAGAGAGGCCGCCTGCTGCTGGCTGATGACATGGGCCTGGGGAAGACCATCCAAGCCATCTGTATCGCGGCCTTTTACCGGAAGGAGTGGCCACTCCTGGTGGTGGTCCCGTCATCTGTGCGCTTCACCTGGGAGCAGGTCAGTTCTCCCTGTGTTGTGATTTTTACCAGGAAGTGTCCTCATTGTTGAAGCAATCAAATAACAATTTGGGGACAGGGCCTGGGGAGCTTTAGAAGATCCTGTGTCAGCTGAAGGAGGAAGGGAGAGGAGGTGGTGGCCTTCGGAGGCCAAGCTCATGGTTTTCTGAACTAGAATCAGGTTATACCTTTAGGGAAGAAAGCCGAGGGGTTACGGGCTCAGACTTGCCGCTCTCTGGCAGCAGACACTTCCTGAGCACCTCCTGTGCCCCTGCTGCTCACCCCGCTCACCTGTACCACACGGAAGTTTCAAAATGGCTACCTCCTTTATTTCCCTGAATCCCATAGCAGCTGTGTGTGAGTGGACGCAGTTGGTATTAGCCCCATTTACAGATGACAAAACTGAATCTCAGCGAGGTGAAGCAGCAGGCTCACTGGTAGTTGGAAGCATTGTTGGACCTCGAAGGGGCATCTCCTGAGTTGTAGGATCAGGGTTTGTGCACCCTGCAGAAGGTGGTGTGGGCAGGATGTTCACTGTCAGCCGGGTGCCATTATAGCTGAAGAACCTGACCTGGACATTGCCTTAGCACTCGGCTGTGAGCTTTGTCTGCCATATATCCAGGGATCAGAGTGCTTCCATGAAATGAATAAACACCCATAGGAGCACACTTGCTGGAGAAAGGAGACCTAATTCATCGTCTGTAGCATTTCCCAGCTCTCTGCTACTCATGGCAGCTGCTTCCTCACACGTTGGCTTCTTACTAAGCTCCCCTGCGAGCCACTTGTGGAGAAGAGGCAGCTCTGCCTGTTGCTGGTCAGCCTGAGGCCCAGACATGCCCTTCCAACTGAATGTGCATCACAACAATACCTCATTTTTCCCCCCGTCCTTGTGACCTGAATTCCACCACTGCCTCTAGAAACGAACAATTCAACATATATTTATTTGGTGCGGTTAGGTTCCCACAGCACCCTCAAAAATTCTCCAAAGAAAAAGAATCAGGCGGTCACTTAGTTATGAGCAGGGCCAAAATTGGAGGAAGAACCAGCCCATCGACATCACTGTAGTGTCAGCCCAGGGACCCAGCCCCTGACCTGCAGGTACCTGGTGGCCTTCCGTTGGCTCCAGGCACTGGCTTGGGCTAGGGATGGCAAGATTTCTGGAGAGAGCAGATGGTAAGTGTTTTTGTCATTATCAGTGTCTTTGGTATATACTAGTATCTGCTAAAAATTCCTTTATAAAATTCCTCCTAAAAAGAGTCACATTCTTGCCCTGCAGAAACTTGCCATCTAGTTAGAGATTCGAGGCCTGAAATCCGCAGACACCGCAGTGCCTGCTCACAAACGCTTGCTTACGAAGGTGGGCAGTGTCATGTCAGTGGAAAGAGAAGGAGCAGATGGGTAGGAAGGAGGGCAGTGAAGGCAATTGTTGTTCATGGGCCCAAGGGCGCCAGCAAATGCAGGGGGGTGTGGAGAGAAGGGCGCTGAGGCCACTTTTCGGGGAGCATTAACATTGTCCACTGAGAGAGTGCCATTGATGGGTGGGCTGGGGTCTCAGTGGGCAGCTGCCGGCCGGATCCCCCAGGTGTCCTTCTCCGCTGTCATCCCCAGGCCTTCCTTCGGTGGCTGCCGTCTCTGAGCCCGGACCGCATCAATGTCGTGGTGACCAGCAGGGACCGCCTGATGGCTGGCTTGGTCAACATTGTCAGTTTTGACCTTCTGAGCAAGTTAGAAAAACAGCTAAAAACACCCTTTAAAGTTGTCATCATTGTAAGTGCCTGGGCAGAGCCTTCAAGTACTTCACCTCTGGGGAAACTTTCTTCTTGAAGGCTCTGAGAACTTTCATGTCTCTGCTCTCCTGGAGCCTCCCTCTGTTTCTGGGAGAATAGAAACCACTGTCTTTAGTTTGTGGGAAACTGACATTTTACTCATCTCAAATTGCAGTTCTCAGCCCTGGCTACATGTTAGAATCTCCTGGGGAGTGCTTTGAAAAGTGTCATTTACTAGGCCTGAGCTGAGGGTTTGCAGCCCATCTCCCCAACGTGAGGTCATGGATGGAGGCTGGCTGGGGCCCTGGGCCCCCAGGGGGACAGCAAGGGCGTATGCCTTCATCTGATGGCCTCTCTTGTCCAAATGGCTCAGATCAAACAGTAAGGTTTTCCCGGCCAATATAAAGACACCCCGCCCCCCCCCCCGACCACCCAAGAAGTAGTATAGCTGACCCTGGAACAAGATGGGTTTGAACTGCATGGGTCCACTCATAGGCAAATGTTTTTCAACAGATACAGCAAAGTACGGTAAACGTGTTTTCTCTTCTTTATGAAAACCATAAATATTAATATTTTTTTCTCTAGCTTACTTTATGGGAAGAATACAGTAAATAACCATATACCATACAAAATACGTGCTGATTGTGCGTGTTATCAGTAAGCCTTCTGGATGAGTAGTTAGGTTTTGGGAGAGTCAAAAGTACATGCTGACTTTTGACTGCAGGAGGCCGGGGGGGTAGCACCCCTAACCTCTGTGCTGTTCAAGGGCTAGCTGTACCTTTCACCAGTTTTTGGTTTGTTTTTTTCTTAAGTAGGCTTTACTCAAGTTCTGCTCCTAGATGGGACCATGCATCTTTCAGTTAACTGGTTTTCTTCTTTTCATCCCTCAAGTCCTCCATAAGGAAAGTCTAGAGAGGCCCTGTGCCAGCCACCTGGCAGAACTCAGTGTATTCATGTGGCTCACAAATAAAGATTAGGAAAAGGCATGCAGCTCCCACCCCCCAGTGCAGGTACCCACTAACAGGCATTCAGGGCCACAGAGCGCAGTGGATGATTTTCAGCAGAAGTTTACCCTTGTTTCTCCTCTTGGCAAAGAAGGGGAAGCCAGTGCCTCCGGACTGATATGAAAGGTTCTTCTTTATTCAAACGTGTGAATTTTAAAAGCCCGTGGTGTTTTCCTTCTCTTAAAAATAGAATTCTCTGCTGACAGTGGCTTCCCAAATCCTGATGCTCAGAATGTGTAGTGCATATCTTATCTAGAGGGAGGGAAAGGAATGAGTTTTTAGGGGGCCCAGAAAAGTCAACAAGATTGCAATAGAGCCTGTGGGTTTCTCAGCATGGGTCTGGCTGTCAGGGGAGACTCGTTCATCCGTGTGTTCAGCCAACATTGAGCACCAGCACCACACCCTGCACAGTGCTACGCACTGAAGGTGTGGAGGGAGGAAGGTCAGCCCCATTCTCCAAGACACCACAGTCCAGTAGGACAGACAGACACACACACACAGATCATTAGAATACATTTTAGTGCCCAAGTATCGTGGTAGCTCAGAGAAGGGAAGAAGGCATAGTTCCTGGTCTCAGGGATCTATTATGATATGGATGTGAGAACCATACTATATTCCTAGCTTAAGCAAACTTAAATGTTTATATGTTTTCACAGCTGTAAGGGTAGTGAGTCTTTGGGGAAGTCATTTCTGGTTTGGCACAAATTCAGGTGTGGCTTTGAAAAAATGTTAGCATACACGTGAAATGCAAACATTAAAAGAAGTATCCCAGGATGATGGTGATGGTTCTCTAGTAAGTAGGAAGAATAATGCCTCCATTTCTTGGGTGTTCTCCTGTGTCAGGTACTTTACACATAATTGCCGATCTTCCCCGTGGCCCCTGACGCAGACATTATGTCCATTTCACCACTGATGGAACTGACAGTGAGAGCAATTTGCCCACAGGCATGAAGCCAGAAAGATGGGACATCATTGATTGAAGCTGGACTGCATCATGTGTCTCTGTTTCTGACTCAACACTTCAACCTGCCATGTGATTTTTGACAAGCCACTTACCACCCGCTTCAGTTATTTAAGAGCCCTGTCTTCTGATTTCAGAGAATTGTTATAGGAAGGAATAAAGTGTCAGCTCTAAGACGTCACGCTTCTTAGAAGAGAATTCAGGTGTAAGCCATTCCTTGTGGTTAGTTATAATAGTGGAACATTTTAGCCCATTGGTTAAAAGGGTCCGTTCCCTTCCCCATCCTCTGTACTTCCTGCTATTTCTCACTATAGGCCCCTTCCTTCTTGGCTGTCATATGGGCCCATCATCAGACAGGAGTACGAATGTCTCTAGGACGGGTTTCTAGGAACAGATGCTCGTACATTTGCGGTTCATCTTGCACTCCTCTCTGTTGCGCTTTTGAGGACCACTTTGGTTCATCAGAGCTGAAATGGAACAGGAGGTTTCTTACAGATCACCTCTCGAGCGAGAGCCGGGATCCCCTTGGTGTCCCCATCATAGGGTGGCCGATACCACTGAGTGCTTACTGAGTTCAGTGGCAGGACTGTTCTAAGGGCTTTATGTGTGTTAGTCCATTAATTAAAGCAACTTGGTAAGTTAGGTAGCGGTGTCTTACCCATCTTACCCATGGAGAAACTGGCACCATAGAGAGGTACATATGTACCTGTGTGTATGCTGTGTATGCCCGGGTCCAAGGCACGTAATTTGTGTACCAAAATAGGAATTTCTTCTCCAAATAGTAAGAATATGTTAGTTACTCATTTGGCTTTAGAAAAATATGACAAGGGCGCCTGACTGGCTCAGTCGTACAGCATGTGACTCTTACCTCAGGATTGTGAGTTCATGCCCCATGTTGGGTGTAGAGATTACTTAAAAGTAAAATCTTTGGGGAATCTGAGTGACGCAGTTGGTTAAAGCACCTGACTCTCGGTTTTGGCTCAGGTCTGCTCCAAGGCTGGCAAGATTGAGCCCCATATCGGGCTCCACGCTCAGCGTGGAGTCTGCTTGAGATTCTCTCTCCCTCTCCCTCTGCCCCCCTCCACTTGCGCACTCTCTCTTTCCCAAATAAATAAATTAATTAAAAAAATAAAATCTTTAAAAAAGAAAGAAAAGAGAATATGCCATATTCTAGTTTGCTCATGCATAGAATGTAGAGCTATATAACCAAACTCCATGTTGTAAACCTGACAGTGTCTTGAGGACGGGAATTGGGTCTTCTTCCCCTCCTCGAGTTCCCACGGTACATTGTCACACTTCGTCAATGACAGCACTTATAACGTTGTCTGCCCAGTTGTGGTGTGGCTGACATCCTTCCTGTCTGGTGAGCCCCAGGGGGCAGGAGCTGGGCACCATGCTGCACACCAGGGCAAGGCACACAGTGGGCCCGCTCTGGCATCATGCTGTGCAGACGTGAGGCACGTCGTACTAAGCAGCAAACCACCTCGCAGCAGGTTGTTCAGCGCCGCCTGGGAGGTGGGCCGGCCAGAGAGACACTAACCCCGCTTCACAGTTGGCAAACTGTCCCGGAGAATTGAAGCGACTTGCCCAGAATAAAGTGGGAAAGCGGCAACAGAACCTGGGTCCTTACCTAGGCGCACAACTGTCTCCTTGAACAAGAAACTAAGGGAGGCATCCCCAATGTGACGCCGTGCCAGGGTCAAGCTTAATGTGGGCTCTGGCTCCATCCACTCAGGATTTGGCCTTGTTCACCTATGTGACTCTTTCTTTTCAGGATGAATCTCACTTCCTCAAGAACATTAAGACTGCCCGCTGTCGTGCAGCTATGCCCCTCCTCAAGGTGAGTCCTTCTGTGTCTTGCTCAGGCTGGCAAGGGGGCCAAGGAGAACAAGGGCCTCTGTCCAGGGCGAGGGGCTGCGGGCCATGGACGTGACTTAGCCTTGACTCCGGCCATCAGCGCCAGACTCGTTTTTCTTCCTAACTTCCTGCTAAGGAACTGGCAGTCGGTGCAGTCGTTTCTTTCTCTCAAAGATGAAGGCCTCCAGAAGGTCGCAGGCTCGATGGGGACTGCACTGTAGGTCCTCCTCGGGCTCCCAGACAAGGCAGAGGGGGGCCACCAGCAGCATGCCCTCTGAACAGCTCAGGAGAAACTGCCTGTCTTCTAAGTCACTTTGGGGACAGAGCTGTCGTGGTGTTGAGAACCAAGGGAAGAGGAGTCATGCAGTCTCGGAACCGGGCCGTCGGGTATCAGCAAGAAGCCCTGCAAAGCTGAGGCGAGCCTTATAAGCCGACTCCCTTTCCCGGGACCCCCTTAAGCCTGTGTGGTTATTGAGAGGATCAGCCATCCACAGCCATCACTGTGGTGGTCTAAACTGAGCCCTGAGTGCTTCGGTGGGTCGAGTCTGCAGGGCAGGCGTCGGTGTGGATCTAGCATAGCTTCACATCTGTATCTAAAAGTGTGCTATTCTGACATCCCACCCCAGACGGTGGGAAGGCCCCCAAACTTCCTTCCATCTTTTTGTGGTGAGCTTTTTCTTAATATTGGGGAACACTGGTACAATTAGGAAAGTCGCTTTTTCTCTTAGAACCAGATAGAAACCTCTCGCAGATGACTTTGGGAGACTCTACTTTGGTTTATGTACACTGAGCAAACTAAAGTCTGTGTTTATCTTGTGCTTCCTTAAAGCAGCCTTTGTGTTGTGCCAGCAGTCTCAACTGCAGTTTACATTGCTTAAGTGAAGCTCGATGTTGTACATAAACTAGGGAAGACAAATAGGCTAAATGTTGGTGAAGCTTATTAACATTGGGAAATTAACTTAATTTTTCCAACTCCCCATAAAGCACAACTGTCTACTCGTTTCAAGTTTTGTTTTGTTTTCTTTTGTTTTAGGAATAACTAGTAACATGATGTGTCTTCCAAAGCAGCATTACATCCTGTGCTCCAGACTCCTTTACTTAAAAACCCAGATTCTCTGCTCGCATTACCTATAAATATTTACGGACACACTTAAATGAAATGTTTTTCCCAAAGTGGTGACCCTTCTTTTGGGGGGAGGCTTCAGTAGGTTTTCTTTTGAGAAATGTTACCAGATCTTCACGCCGTGGTTCCAGTATTGCAGCCGCCCCTGGAATTAAATCTGTGCCCTGATTGCTTAGAAGCTGTGCAGTAGGTAGGTATCACTGCAGGTGCAGAAGGAAGCTTCTTTTTCTTTTTTAGATGATGTCATCTATTTGAGAGAGAGAGCAAGCAAGAGAGAGCATGAGTAGGGGGGAGAGGGAGAAGCAGAATCCCCACTGAGCAGGGAGCCTGATACGGGGTTCGCTCCCAGGACCCTGGGATCATGGCCTGAGCCGAAGGCAGACGCTTAACCGACTAAGCCACCCAGGCGCCCCAGTAGGAAAGCTGAGCAACCATCTTGTTCATGCGGTCATCGCCTGGCCAGGCAAACTGGACTACATACTTGTTTCTGAAACATATGCTTCTGGGTCAGACCTTTTAAAGCAGCATTTACATCTTTAATGCCGTGGGTGTATTTCAGATTGATGCATTTAGGACAAATCTTTTAGTTGTTAACTAGTATAGATTACTCTGCATTTGCTATAGAACTTGGATGAGTTAAACTTTAAGATAGGACCCATGAACGCAGCCTGCTGTTTATGGAGGTGTCTTGAAGCCCCTCTTGTTTGTAACGTTGACTTCACAGGAATCCAGGCTGCTAATGGGATTGAATGGAAGTGCAGCTGAGGCATTATGTGCTGTTCTGCTAACCAGACCTTTCATCTCTCTGCTGTATTTTCATCTAGGTCAGAGTTTCTCAGTCTTGGCACTGTGGACACTTTGGGTTGGATTGTTCTTTCCTGTGCAGAGCTGTCCTGCGCACCGTAGGATGTTTATTGGCATCCCTGGCCTCTGCGCACTAATTGTCAGTAGTTCCCCCCCCACACACACACACACACCAGTGGTGACAACCAAAATTGTCTCCAGATATTGCCAAACATGCCCTGGGAGAGACAGATCACTCCTCTCCATCTCTGTTGAGAATTACTGATCTAGATACTCTAAGGAAATTCATCTAAATATTTTGGGAACAAGAGGAGAATTCAGAGAAGTAAAATATGCCTTTATAGAGGCACAAAAGGGCCTAATTTAGTACCACTTGATTGTTCCTAACTTGTGCATCTCCTAGAACTGTATTCTCATAATTAATATTTCAAGACATGTTCAGCAAATGTGCACAATGAGGTAATTAGGTGATATCCTGCAGTCTGTGAGCTAGCCAGGCCGGATCATGTCCTGGAAATGTGGGTCTTGTAAATGGTGACAGCAGGTGCACGCAGGGCACACGTGGCTTAGGTTGTAGGAAGTTGGAGTTGTAGTCCCCTGGGAAATGTGACATCTTTCTTCCCCCACAGCACTATTTGCTTGGGTTACCAAGCAAGGTAGTTCTATTTTTTTTTTCTTTAAGTTTTTTATTGTTATGTTAATCACCATACATTACATCATTAGTTTTTGATGTAGTGTTCCATGATTCATTGTTTGTGCATAAGACCCAGTGCTCCGTGCAGAATGTGCCCTCTTTAATACCCATCACCAGGCTAACCCATCCCCCCACCGCGTCCAGAACCCTCATTTTGTTTTTCAGAGTCCATCGTCTCTCATGGTTCATCTCCCCCTCCAGTTTCCCCCCCTTCATTCTTCCCCACCTGCTAACTTCTTTTTTTTTTTCTTAACATATATTGCATTATTTGTTTCAGAGGTACAGATCTGTGATTCAACAGTCTTGCACAATTCACAGCGTTTGCCATTCTGTTGGATGGATGCATCCCATAATTTAGCCCTTAGTTGGACATTGTTTTGCTCTTATCAATAATTCTGCAAGTGAACATCATCGATGTACTGGTAGCTTGCAAACTTTGACCTATTAGGACAAATTCCTACACACAGAATTGCTGGGTCAAAATTTCACTTTTTGATAGATGCCTCTGAAGTCTAGTGCGGCCAGGCATAACCATCTTTACTCCCACTCAACCCAGATCACACAGTCTTCTCCATATGACTCCAACCTGAAAGTTGTCAGTCTCTTGCTTTTGTGCAGTGAGGTATGTGTTTGAGTTTTTCTTCGATTTATAGCGCTTTTTATTGTCAGACTAGTGTTCGATTATTTCTCTAGAGGTAAAAAGCCCTCAAAATCCCACCATCCTTTCCTACTAAATAGCTATTTCTCTTCTTGTGAGTGGAGTCCTTTTTACATCTGTAGTGATTGGTTAGATGAAACAAGAGTAGAGGCCTAAAATGTATGAGGTTTTTCTTTTTTCCTTTCTCATTAAAGGAGTTTAAGTACATGATATATTCAGAAGGGTGTACAGTGAAAAATAACTCTTTCTCCCTCTTCTGGGGCCCTCATCCCTTGATTTCTGTCTCCAAAGGCAGCCAGAGTTACCAGATTCTCACATTTACTTCTAAAATTTAGTCTGTTCCCAGCTAAGCATGTGTGTGTGTGTTTCCTTCCTCCCTCCTTAGAGTGTTCCTCAACCACTGTTTTGCTCCTGCCTTTTTTCTCTGAATAGTGTATCTTGGAAATCATCCCACCTCATTTCAGATGACCGGACCTCATTCTTACAGATAGTATTGTATTGTATAAATCTATCATAATACGTATCATCTGCTCCCTTTTGATGGATTTATAGCCAGGCTTTGGCCATTACATACAGTATTACAGTGACTGTCTTTTCATATGCTATACAAGAAGCAGGTGGTAGAAAACCCAGTCCCTCCTCGTCCAGAAGAGATGGCTCTTTGCCCCTCTCAGCCCGAAGGGGAGTGGTATCATTTGAAAGGTCTGTTCTCCCAGTGTGATTCCTGTGGGAGGAGTCCCTTGTGGTCCTGCTGTTCTGGCAAATTTCCTCCACTTTATCACAGAATCAGGAAATTGTTGGAATCTAACACTTAAGGTAAAATAGACTATTTTTTTCTAGAGGAAAAAAACATACTTAATGTTTAATTTGAGCCTGTGTGTTATATTAATAACATCTATGCCTATGCATGCCTTGAAGGTCAAAACAATGTAACTTTAATTAGCTGTTATTATGCCATTTGATGTATTCTCATACATTTTGGTGTTTGTGAACCAGAACACCTGTAGACCCATCCTTCTTTCTTTCTTTTTTTTTTTTAAAGATTTATTTATTTATTTATTTATTTATTTGACAGAGACACAGCGAGAGAGGGAACACAAGCAGGGGGAATGGGAGAGGGAGAAGCAGGCTTCCTGCGGAGCAGGGAGCCCGATGTGGGGCTCAGTCCCAGGACCCTGGGATCATGACCTGAGCTGAAGGCGGATGCGTAATGACTGAGCCACCAGACGCCCCCTTCCTTCTTCTGTTCTTCCCACAGAACTAGTCACCTTTTACATGGCATCAGTATTTTATTAATACCAGGGCAGTGATGCTTGCTTAGCTCTGGTTCTCATGCAAATCAGTTTGGTGTTGGCAGGAGCTCTCAGACTTGTGACTGGAACTTTGTCTCTTTTGGGAAAAGGCTAGATCCTAGAAGGAACTGTTTTGTATGAAATATGCTGACCCAGCCAGAGACTTAGAAAGGCCATCTGACGTATCACTGGGTGGTAGGTGGCCCTCTGCTGATCCCTGGAGTGGCCTCTGGTCAACAGGGGTCATAATGATGCCATTTGTCTTGGTTTGGTCTTGCATATCATGGAGAGCAGAGGGAAGAACAGAGCCTCGATCTTTTCCCCGATTCCGGTCACTGGGTTTCTCCTGAAGAGTGGGTTTCCCCTCTTGTTCTCAGGGTTTAGACTTAACCACAGGTGTTGACTCTTAATGTTGCTTCTTGGCTCATGACGGTGATCCTGCCTTTGTTCTTGATCTCTGTACTTTTGGTCACATGCCCCCAGACTGTGTTTGCCACTCTCCTTGTTTTTGAAGATTCTGTAATGACTTCTGAACTCATGACAGTGTAGCTCCGGTGTCCCTGCCTCCTGGGGCCAGTGTGTATCAGGACACTTGGGTGGCATGGGTGTGACCTTCTCTTTGATGTCACCAGCTTTCTCAAGTAGTACTTCTAAATCACAGGGGACTCAGCCTATAGACTGAACTTTATTTAGAATACCGTTAGGAATAACATGGGACAAGAATGGGGCTCAGCTTTGGGGAGCATGACTTTTTCCCCAGTCCAGAGTCTTGGTGAAGTGTGTTATACCCAGTCAGAATTATTCGGTAAAGCAAGTTAATGGCTTCAGTTGGAAAAAAAGAGGTAACAACAGAAAGTGATGAAGAATTCCCAGGCTGCTGCTTGTATGAACTTACAACAGTTTCGGCTCTTCCCTGCAACAGAACATTCTCTTGGCTCATATTTAAAAATCTATGTGTAGTTTATTTACTCTGAGTTGGATTCGATTCTCCTTGGCAAATTATATATACTAACTTGTCCTGCTAGCATCCTGTTCCCCAGGGCTGAACTGATGACCTTAATCCCTTAGGAAACTGAACCTGTCTTTGAAGGTCACCTGCCCCCAACAGTGTCTGCTCCTGTGAATCACGTCATTTCTCTCGGACATCACACAGAAATGATTTTTTTCCATTGCTCCATAATAGGTTTCCTGGGAGCCGCTCTCTTTTGTTAGCCAGAGGAGTTAACTATAACTGTTCCGTTTAGTGTTGATTTACGTAGTTTTATGCATTTCTATTTTCCGAAATTGGAGGTTCTCCAAGGTGGAGGGTGACCCATAAACCATGGGCAGCTGGGCAGGTGGGCAGGATTAAAGGCCGTTTGGGTGACAGTGATGACAGTACCAGCATGTTGGGGCTGAGCAGGGAGCAGGCTAAATCATTCCAGAACAGAAAAGACGCTGTTCTGGTTTCTTTTCAAAGCTGGCCTTTTTCTTTTTCCATAATGGTGCCTCTGCTTTTTAAACACCCACAAACGCCCATTTTCAATGGTCTCATCACCCCTAGTCCAGGCAGTGTATGGGAGAACGGGCTCAGAATTGACTCTGACCCTTATCCTGAGAATAAGGGAGACACTCCTCACTTTATTAGAGGACATGGAATGGCCAAAACTTCCTGGAGGTAAAATCCATTTCAGCCCTAGAAGGAAGCCTACCAGGGAGCTCATTGTCTAGAAACACCTTGTTAACCACTGTAACCTTGAGTTAACGAGGGAAGTATAATACCCACCCGAGAACCTGGGAGTTATTTTCCATCACCTGATCTGTGAGCTGTCTCTACCCAGGCTCCATCCCCAGGCGGCAGCAGAACAGCGACGTGGGGAATCGGTTTGGGATGACAGGCCGATTTTCTCTCATTGATAAGACTTCTCATTGCCCCCGTTTCATTGAAATGGTCTTGAGCCAAGGCAAGCGATGCTACAGATGTCATTCAAGAAGCTCATTGTTATTTTAATGAGTCTGCATTAAACCGTGCAGGAAATTAGAAGCCTGGGTAATTGAACTGTGGAAAATTATAGCTGGAGAAATTCATACCTCTCCTGTCATAATGGAATTAGGTATTGGCAGTCACGGAGAGGGCAAAAGTGCATCTTGAGAGTTATATATATTGTATATGTATAAAGAGTCCTTTTTCTTCCCTCTGTTGCACCTTTATTTATTTATTTTTATGAGGCAGCATATCCATTTGAAAACCTAATTTCCTCCCCTAGGTGATTTACTGCATGCCATTGCCTTATACTTCCCTCGTTAACTCAAGGTTACAGTGGTTAACAAGGTGTTTCTAGACAATGAGCTCCCTGGTAGGCTTCCTTCTAGGGCTGAAATGGATTTTACCTCCAGGAAGTTTTGGCCATTCCATGTCCTCTGATACAGTGAGGAGCGTCTCCCTCATTCTCATCCTCTTTCCCATCTTAGTAAGAGGTGGGATATTTCTGTCTGATCTCCTCAGGTTCAGGTTGGGGTCAGGCTAGTGAGCAACCTGGAGTTCATCACTGGAATCGACCATTTATTTCTGTTCTACTCACTGCTGAGCAGGCTGCTGGGCTGAGTTTAGGGTAAATGGATCTGGGTCCCACTTTTTAAAGTCCTTATTAACTGCAAAATGAGCTAAGTTAGGGAGCTCCTGGGGCGCAAAAGCATTTGCAGCTGAGTTAGCGACAGCCTCTTTGTCCTCAGAAGAAAATCAGGTAGAGGCTTGTGCACAGGCCACCCCTGACTTTTCCTCCTGGCAGTGAGAAAGGGCTGGTCCTCAGTGTCATTTTCTGACCGGAAGTTCAGCTCAGATGTCAGAGATCCCCTCTGGAAGCAGGTCAGACCTGTTGCTCTCTGTCCCTCACTTCCACTTCCTCTTCCAATGCTGGATTCGTTGAGTTTTTCCCATCTTCCCGGGGACACTGGTTAGCTGAATATTTCTCAGCATACAGCGAACATTTGTTGGTTGCTTACTTTGTGCCAGGCTCTGTGCTACAGAAGATAAAGGTGAACACAGCCCTGATCTCAAGACGCTCACAGTCTAGTGAGGGAGACAGAGAAGGTGGAATTCAGTATCATGTGCTGAGTCCTGATGTAGGGACTTAGGACAAAGGCAGCCTAGGAGGTGGCATCCCGCTGCTTACGTGGGTCACACCATGAGGCTCTTGGAACGTGTGTGCTCCTCTACCTTTGCTTAGAGTTCCCAGGTATGGGCCACACCAGGATCTGGAGTGAGGCCAGCCTCTGGTGTCATTGGGATCTAGATCTCCCTGGGTCAAGAGGAGTAAACTGGCAAACTGCCAGCAGTCAGGGCGCCCAGGAAGGGAGAGGTGCTCTGGCTGCCTTTCAAGGCATTTTGCTCTTCCTGGGGCATCCAGCTCCAGTCCCAGTGGGGCATTTGGGATAGTCCCTAGGTCCTCCTCTATGCGCTCTCAGCACCTTTGGCTATTTGTCTTCTAGGTTGCAAAGAGGGTGATCCTGTTGTCCGGCACGCCAGCCATGTCCCGGCCCGCAGAGCTCTACACCCAGATCATCGGGGTCAGGCCAACTTTCTTCCCTCAGTTTCATGCTTTTGGACTTCGCTACTGTGATGCCAAGCGGGTATTTATTCTTTCCTCCCCTCCCCCTCCCCCAACCCACCTCCCCATCCCTCTCCCCGATTTTGATACTTACCTTTTGTTCCTTCTCTTTGGCCATGGTATGATCAGAAGCACACTGGCCAGGGAACCAGACCCAGATTTTCATCCTGCTTTGCCCCTAACTCTGACCTTCAAGTGTCCTCAAGAAGAAGAACAGTCCCTCCTAGTTTTAATGCTTGTGATTCTAGGGTGGGGTTTCCCAATAAGGCGACCAGTGGCTGATGTGTAGTGCCCGGAGCTCTGAGAAGGGCACGGAGGCAAGCTAGGGGTGCGGCTGGGGCCCGTATCCTCTGCATGGAAGAAACAGCAGAGGACTCGAAGCAGGAAGAGGGGGAGTGTGATCTGGAGCTGCCTCGGTGGGCTCTCATCAGCCAAAACGTCAACTCATTACAGTGAAGTGTGCCTGCTCAATAGGCCGGAAGCCTCTGACCTACAGATTATCTCTCTGGGACTCGAGTCTGCACAGCTTCAGTCTCCAAGGATGGCAGAGGGAGCTTGTAACTGCAAATGCCATTGCAATCAAAATCTTGATTTCTAAAACCTCGATTTCTTTTAACTGAAAAAAGTATTTATTTAATGACTTGGGGAAGTAAAAGAGTAGGAAAAAAGTAGGATGCGAAATTTTCCCCATCATTCAGTCATTCGTTCCTTCTCTCTTCCTCTCCCTTCCCCATCCCCTCCCCTTCTCCCCCCCACCTCTCTTTCATTTATGATTGGAAGATAATGTACACCAAAATGGATTACTTTTGTAAGCCAGAAAATCAACATTTTTTTAAGTGTTTAAATGACAGTATTCACCGATCCTCCATTCCTCCTGATGGGCCATTGAATCCATCAGTGTTCATCAATCAGATCCAGCCCGCTGAGTGTGGGACAGTGTCCTCCTCAGTAGAGGGGGCTCCTCACCAGAGCCTCCAGGATTTCCTCTCTCTCCTTGTCTACGGCCGCGCCTCCCTCCACGTCAGCAGCATGTTTGTGGTGGACTCAGCATGTTTCCTGAGCTAGGGGTGCCTCTCGGTGTCAGGCAGCCATAACCGGCTTGGCCAAAGCCTGTGCACGTTTCCAGTATTCTTCCCCAAAAATAACTCGAGAAAGGATGACATGGAGAATCAGCTCCTTGTTTGCTGAGGTGTTCGTTTTTTTCCTTACTCAGCTGAGCTGTTTTCTTCTGGGATTGAGCTGCTTTCTCTTCGGAAAGGGACTCCTCCTTCTTGGCCTCTAGTGCCTTCTGCTCTCTCTCCGGACCCGCCAGTGGGATACAACTCATCTGTTTGCTGGGGTGCCAGGGTCTGGGTTGGCCATGGGGGATGGAAGCACAAGTCCTGGTTGGCGACCTTGCAGACGCTCACGGGATATGGACGGGGCTGGCTGGCATCTTCTTCCTGTGCCCCTGGTAGCTCTCTCTGACCCAGGCTCTGGAACTTCCACAATCAGAAAACCCGAGGGAAGATTTGCTAATTTTTCTTTCTCACCTCCATTTTTGAAAGTGGCCAGGGCAGTGAATTTATCCTTCAGCGACAGATCTTCGTCTCGCAAGGTCAGACTTCTCGAACTCCCAAACGCTGTTCCCATGGGGGTCCACATGGCCCTGAATTAGAACGGCAGACTCTGGTCCCGCTCAAGTGTAGATCACTTCTCCTTTTCCCCAGTTGTTCTGCTGTAACTTCGTAAACCTTGACGCCACAACCCACACTATGCCCGACTTATTTCTTGTGGATGACGCCCTGGCTGCAGAGGCTCCAACCCAACTCTAAGACCCCATTAGTTCAGACCTTCAGGGTTCCTGTTTTGTGATCAAATGACAAATATACCGCGCTGCTATTTGCATCGAAGATGCTGACACTTTGGAGAAATGGCTGTTTGCTTACCCATGACACATGCCGTCTTGAGGAAAAAGCCTTGCTATGCAAGTTTGTGATGTAAATAAGATTGTCTGCCTTATTTTTTAAATACTTTTTTCAAAAAACTTTTCAAGTACTTTAAAAATATCCACTTAACATTCCAACAAAGTACTTATAATGTAAATTGTAGTGCTTTGCAAAGTTAATTGCAAACCATTTTTAGCTGCTTATTGAGGCAGGAAATTTCTGTTATTAAATGTATTTAAAGCTATACACTTCTTTAACAAAATCTGTAATGACTTTCCCCGTGGATCAGTCCAGATTAGATTTTACCTGGTTGTCATGGTCCCTCAAAACTCTTCATGAGTGATTTGTACCTCTGTCTTATTTGTAAATGACCCACGTTCTGAAAAGGATCTTCTCTTCCTCGACTATCTGGGCTCACAGTATAGTGCTTAGCTAGTGATGGTAGGGGCTGAAGACAGAATTTGTTGCCTTTACCCCCAGACTGTCCCTCCCCGTGTCCCCGGTCTCTGTCCACCATCTCCCCAGTCTTCATGCCATCCTTATTAAATTCATCCTTCCTCTCCTCACTGTCTCCCCTGCCCCACTGACAACCAAGAAAACAAACATAGACAGTGCCTTACCCCTTCCCCTCCTTCCACCTAGCCCAGTGCCTGCTACATGGTAAATTTTCAATAAAAGCTTGTTGGATTGTGAATATTCCAAATTTTAAATCTTTGGTATTATTGGGTTTTAACCTACAAGATTAAAAGCTGACATAGGAGCATGCTATCCAAATTAATTATGGTATCCACTCGTTCCCAGCATGATTTTTATTTAATACAGCCCGTAGGGCAGGGCTGCCTTTTTTTTTTTTTTTTTACTGTGGCCAACTTCTTGCACTGAGAAAAGCCACTGAAGAGATTGCCCCTTGCTGAGCTCATTTTTGACCCCATTGCCTGAAGGCATTTGCTGAGAACTTCCAGTTGATTTCAGAGAATTTTTTTAAAGAAGAAGCAGTTTTTGATCATTTTACTTCTCCACCTTTGACCATCTCTTTCTATCCTCTATTTAGCAAAGGATACCTGCCATGTCTTCACAATTAGAGGCTAGGTTCACTGGCCCTCAGAAATGAACAAGCCTAGCTTCTGCCTACGGTGGTTTATGGTCCAGGGGAGGCTGAGACAGAAAGAGAGACAAGCAGCTGGAAACATAAGGTAGCAGACACCTTGGTTCCCTCATTTCTACGGGGCTGGAGATGTCAGTTCTATTTCGAGTAAGATTGGCAGTGAAAGATACTGGTTTTCATTTTAACATCTTCTCTAGCTATGTGACCGGGAATAGATATTCTTGCTCATTGCCTCCCATGAGCTACTAAGTGAAGAAACCATTTTTATGAAGGACTGCCTGGGTACCCTAAAACCCACCTCTGGTCTCAGCCAGACTGGCAAAAGCCTGTGTTCTTGGTTCCTCCCTCCAATCCCCACTAACAGCAGCAACACACTGTGTGCATCTCATTGCACTTGGTTGTGCTGGGATAGCCTCTACTAAGGAACAACAGCATCTTAAATCTCAATACATCCCATCAAATAAAGATATTACTGAAGAAACGTGATTTGTTTCATCGTGCAGTGGACTTTAGGATAAGCCCTGGGGAAGATGATTTCTTTATTGAGAATACAAGGAATAGTCTGACAAGCCAAACGTCTTATTTGTTTTCAATGTAATGGACACCAGACCTCTCAGCGTCTTGCATTTCCTGCTAGAAAGTTCAGCGTGTAGAACACCAAGGTAGATGTTTTTAGTTCGCTTTATTCCTGACTTTCTTTTTCTCTTTTCCTTCCTTGCTCCCACCTGTATTATATGAGGTTACATTCATCCTTTAGAGCCCCTTGAAGTTGTCTGAACAAAGCCACAGGAAGAGAAGGTCGTGAGCCAGTTGAGGTCGCAGCCCGGTTAACTTGGCCCTAGGAGAAGCTAACTGGCTGCGTGTCTTGGTTCTTCCTCCACAGCAGCCCTGGGGATGGGATTATTCGGGCTCCTCCAACCTCGGCGAGCTGAAGCTCCTGCTGGAGGAAGCGGTCATGCTGCGACGCCTCAAGTGTGACGTCCTGGCCCAGCTCCCGCCCAAGCAGCGCAAGATAGTAGCCCTTGTCCCTGGCCAGATCAGCACCAAGGCCAGAGCCGCCCTGGACGCCGCGGCCAAGGAAATGACCACCATGAACAAAACTGTGAGTCCGGGGCTTGAGATGGGGACTTGGAAGTCAATGTGTCTACAGCTGGTCCTTCCCGGGAGGGGGTCCACCAGGGTCACCCAGAGTTCTCGGAGCTTGCTGTTCCAGGACCTCTTCCTACGCCCCTGGGCAAGGACTGTGAGCCCATGTCCTCTCTCAGCCTACCTAGTCTCCTTCCAAAATCTCTTCCTAGTTTGCAGTTTTGTACATGTGTAGATCACTGTTGACAGATGGTAGTAAAGATAAATGCCGTGGCAACGGCAGAATGGTGACGTTCATTCAGAATCTCTCAGAATCGGAATTTCTGTTTAGTGTATTTTGAGAATGCCTTAAAGTCTAGTAACTGTTACTCAGTCTAGTAACAGTTAGAAGTTAGTTCTAGGTGTATTTGTTATATATGTTAACCCTCTTTTAGTCAAAATAATATAGAACAAAAGTAGGGCCTTCAAACCCTCTTAGCCCTTAATACTTATTCAGTCATTTATGGTTGGTAAGAAGTTGGCATCCCCATTTTATAGAAAGGGAAACTAAGGCCCACAGAGAATGTGATTTACTCAGTCTTACGGCTGCTCCAAGGCAGAGCTGAGGCTGTAACCAAGCCTGTTACCGCTGTATTTTAAGGTCTTAACACTATGGTGGTTTTATCTTTTCAAAACACTTTTATATCTGTCTTTAGTGTCACACTGTGCCAAGTGTGGTAAAGTAATTTACACCAGCTCCATTTCTGTCATTTTGGGATAAAACCTTGCCGTTTTCATCGCCAAGAAAATAACAGTCATTGACATTTTTTTGACATTATCATAAAGCATTATCTGGGCTTGTTTTTACCCTGTGTAAAGAGAGTTAGATCAAGATGAGATCCCAGCCTTGTGGGAGAGCACAAAATAAATAAGAATGACAAGAGACAGAACGCGTAGGGTTTTTATGTTATTTTACCATGTTATGAGCAAGACCAATGGGTAACTTTTAAGAAACAAGAGTGTAGGGTAGAGGATGTGCTGGTAAGTTGTCAAGCTGTATGTAATTTATGCTGTATTACATATAATAATCTGGATAGTCTGGAGGAAGTGAGCAGGCGTAATCTCTTCACTGTGGGGTTTTCCAGCAAAATTCCCCAACACCGGTGTGGAGATACAGACCAGTGGTTCTCAAACTGTATTTCAGTGGAACATGAGCAGAAGCAGGTATTCTGTTGCTAAAATCACTGATGGTGGTCTTTTTCTGATTTCTAGAGATAAAAATTCAATGAATGGAAATTCTTTTTTTTTTTTTTTTTTTAGATTCATTTATTTTTCAGAGAGAGAGAGAGAGAGTGAGGGCTGTGGGGAGGGACAGAGGGAGAGAGAGAATGAGAATCCCAAGCAGATGCTCTGCTGAGGGCAGAGCCCAACATGGGACTCGATTGCACGACTCTGAGATCAGGACCTGAGCCGAAATCAAGGGTCAACCGCTCAACCAACTGAGCCACCTAGCCACCCCTGAATGAAAATTCTTTTTCTCAGTTTTAAGCTTTTTCTTATAATTCTCAAATCTTTTATGTCTACTAACTGTTGCCCACGAGTGAACTCTGCCATCAAGAGAACCAATGAACAAGTATAGCAAATATAATATTAATGGGAAAAATTCAGATGTGGGGTATTTTTAGGTGCAAAGATCTGAATGTTTATAAATATTCTACATTTTAGTTCCTTGTGTGTGTGGTGGAAGTAAGCCTATCGGTATTTTGTGGACTTCCCCAGAGAATCCCCTCACCAGTCCCTGGTCCCCCTCCCAAACCAGGCAGAGACCAGCAATGTAGACAACAGAAAAAGCAGGCAGTGGGCATTAGAACTGAAGAGGAACAGCATATCGAGTGGCCAAGAGGCAGCTGTAAATTGTGCAGTATGGCTCAAAAGAAGTATGGGAATTTTTAACTTAGTGCAACAAGGTTTGAAAGCATTTTTAAAATTTTTTGCCAATTAATATAGTTCCTTGCCTTAGGTTATGGGGCTCTTTCTAAAGATTATTTCAGATGCGACCTGGAGGTTTGACTTCTGAGTTTACAGGCAATAATGGGCGCTAGGGGCGCCTGGGTGGCTCATTGGTTAAGCGTCTGCCTTCGGCTCAGGTCATGATCCCAGGGTCCTGGGATGGAGCCCCGCATAGGGTTCCCTGCTCAGCGGGGAGCCTGCTTCTCCCTCTGTCTCTACCGCTCCCCCTGCTTGTGCTCTCTCTCTCTTTCTTTGTCAAATAAATAAATAGAATCTTAAAAAAAAAAAAAAAGAAATTTACTAGGCTAAACCATGGAAATCAGGAATGTTCGGTATTTTTATAACTTCCAGTAGCTATGTAAATCCCCCGAATTCTTTGGGATATTTTGATATTTTCCTTTAAACCTAAAAAGGGGAGCCATGACGTGCCTTGTAGGCCTAGTGCTGGAAAAGTCCCTAAGGACAGTGTCAGTCGCTCTGAGCCCCTCCTGTTGGGTGACTGTTCTCTCTGCTTCTTCATCCCCGAGTCGTAACACTGTTGTGCAGATTATGAAAAACCTTGATTGCAGTGGAATTCGAGAATTCAGCAGAGAAAGAGCCTAGAGCTCTTCTCAGTCCAGTGCTTGGGACTTGCTGTTTTGTTGGCATCTTAGGAAAATTAGGAGCTTGTTCCTAAAAGAGAGAAATTGAGTTGGTACAGATGACCTGCAGGATGATGCTGAAGCCGGATACTAGATTCTTTCTGATAACAAGATAAATCCTTGATAAATTGGTTCCCTTTTATGGTCTTTAATGTAAATTCATTTTTATGATGGAACATCCAAGTAGAAAATGAATTTAGGAGCTTTGCCCTTGAGACTGCCAGAACCTTTCTTACTCCAAAGCCACTGATGTGGTGCATCTGTCAACTGTGGATCCGATCGGAGGCAACACCCTCCCTTAGCTCAGGAAGGGGAACCCGTGTCAGCCAGGAGTTGGACCAGCTGGCCCTTGACATCCCGTGCAATCCCTGACTGGCTGTGAAATCCTGAGTTGAAAAAGTTAAAATGGGGTTTAGTGGTTTTATGGTTTGGGGCAAGTAAGGAAGGCCTGTGAATCTATAGAAAGTTGCCCCTACCACTTTTAAGTTACTTTGTAGCCCCAAGTTTCCCGGCGGGTTTCCATCAAAGGGCTCCTGCCCTGTCAAGAAGCAATTCTTTGCTCCCTCACACCTTCCCATCTGGAGGAAGACATTTTTTTAAAAAATCTTTAAATCACAGAAGCCAAGGTGAAGTGGCCCATTTATAAAACATAACGTACAATGAAAGCTCTTTCTTATTTTCAGCTGAAATAATAGCTGTCTCTTCACAGGCTAAGAAAAGCTGACTCTAATCCTCCTTTGTCTATAGTAATTTTTTGATCAGCAAGACCAGGAACAGAAAAATAGAGCAAGTCTGCGCAGACTTCCTGGTGACAGCATCAGTTCACCCTTCTGCCGTTTGACAATACATTCAAATTCCAACAGAAAAAATAAAATCAAAACCCCAGTGGATCGAAGAACAAAGGACACAGGTTATTTAAAATTTCCTGGCCTGTGGCTGGCAAAAGAAGTGAGATCATTAATGCACTAGTATTGTGTCTACTCAGTTTTGGGGAGGTTTGGGTTTTTTTTTTTTTTAAGATAATACTATTGATCTCTCCTACATTAAAATAGCTGTCTATTGCATAAAATCTGAAAGATAAAGAAAAGGACTTGAAAGTAACATCAATCGAGTGTTTCTGTAATATTACTGTACTATGAACAAGAGTCACCCATCTTTTTTATCATATAATTTTGGCATATATGATTTGGGTAGTTTTTCTATAAAATATATGTATATTTGGCTTTCAAATATGCATTATTTACACATACACTTATACATAGATATAGATATAATTTATGTATATAATAAGTAACATATTTTTTTAAAAGCAGAATTGGTACCCTATAAACATCTATCAGGTGGAGGAAAACAGGTTACAAAACTTCATCCTGAACACTTCTCTGTGTTGTTAAATGTTTTTTTAAAGCACAATACGTGTTTTCTCCCGTGGCCATATTGGAATTTTGTCAGGAATTGTGAGTTGACATTTGGGTTATTTCAGTTCCCTATTCTAAGTAACCAGACACCAAGAAAGCAGCTTCCATAGGAATTTATGAACGTGGACTGTATGGTGAAGGTAGGCATGAAGGAGTGAGTCGCTGCAACGTGGGGCTGGGCGCACTTGGAAGTCATCCCCGCCGGTGCCCTGTGGGCTGACCCCACAACTGAGTGTGATAAAGGGATTTGCTCCCCACACCTCCTCAGTGCTTGGTGGTAAATCTCAGACAGGCGAGGTTTTTCAGAGTGCTTTCTGCCTCTTGCCTATCTGTTTGTTCTGCCCTCCCCATCTCTGCTTAGCCGCTGTGGAGGGAGCAGGCGTGGGGGAGAGGGAAGGACCTGACCGGAGCGGGGGTGGCCTCTGCAGGGCACGGCAGTCAATGTGAAGACGGGACGACTGGGGTGTGCTCTGCTTGAGGCATGCCCACTGCGGGTGAGGTCAGCCCTTGGAAGACTGGCTCTGTCGCTTTGCTGTATCCTACCAGGGACCGCATTATGTTAGAGGGCCTCGCCTGCTGCAAGGGACCCTTTGAGGGGACGTGAATGCACCTCAGGACGTCTGTGTGCTCCTTGTCCAGAAGGGCAAAGTGTGTGTCCAGAGTTTCATCAGAGTCTACATTGGATCTGTAGCTGAGAAAGAGTTTAAGACACACTGTCACAGAGTCGTATCTCCAACAAGAGTTCTCAGAAAGTTTGTTCAGTTGTACCTCTGTCACAAGACAGGAGGGACGGTGGCCACCACTGCCACAAGAATGACATGGCCCCATTAGCCCGTCAGTGGCCCCCCGGCTTCCCGTGCTTCCGGGTCATCTTCCTTCTTTCTCATCAAGTCCTCGAGGAAAGACACCGTTGGGAGGCAGGAAGCTGTTTGGACCAGGCAGCTTGTCCCACCACCTGTGGTGTCCGTTGTTTACGGTACAGCCTGGCTTCAGGGTCATGGATGTTATTACTGTGGGCTCACTTCTTTGTTACACGAAGAAGCCGTTGTGTCAGTCACTGGCCTCACAGGCCTCCAGGGGCGTCTGTAATCCACGCTTGCTCGTGGAAGGAGAGGGCCACCCTGGCAGTGATGGTAAGGGTGTCTGTCATCTCTGGGGAACCCAGAGTGATGATAAATGCTTTCTCATAATATTGTGAAACTGTCTGTGCACCTCCTGTGCTAGCATCCTTGATGAGTATTTATTTAGAGGCCAACTATAAAGAAAACATGGTTTCTTCTCCTGGGAGGTCAATGACCTAATGTGGGAGCCAGGCCAGAAGACACGGGAATAATGGTTTTGAGATGATTCTACAAGAGACTAGTTGGGGTCCGTTGGAATTGATTCAGTAAGTCTTAGACAGAAGAAAGCTTTATCAGTTGGGTGTGGACACAACATGGCAGAAGAAAAAAGGGAGGCAAAAAGCAGCTTGGGCCAATGTCGTGTAAGTCGTCAGCAGGCTATAGGAAGTGGTTCACATAGCTTAACAAGGGCTGCATTTCAGCTGATCACGTGAGCCTGTGTGGATGGTGGAGCGTGGCCGAGACGCCTTTCCCGGGGGCTCTCGTGTTCCTGGTCTCACCACTGGCTGTTCGCAACAGTTCCTGGGATATGACAGAGTACCTGTAATGGCACATCTCCAATGACAAACTAGAGTCTCTACAGTTCCCATGGCTTGACTAAATTGAGTGGATGAGTCAGGGTCTCCCAGCTCCAATAACTGGCATTAGGACTTGTAAAGCTCAGAGCGGTGATAATTACGTTAGCTCATCCCAGGGTTCGCAGAGTGGGAGACTTTCAACCCTAGACTTCTCTTTCCACAGAAACGGCAGCAGAAAGAAGCCCTCCTTCTCTTCTTCAACAGAACAGCTGAAGCTAAAATCCCATCTGTCATGTAAGTGGCCACCAAGTGTCTACTTCTCTCTCCCACTTCTCCCACTCCCTTCTCTCTCTCATCTTGAAAAAGAAATACCTATTACCTTAACCTCCCAGAATGGTTTTACTGCTCTGCAAGAAATGATCAGAGCCTAGAATTATAGCTGCCTTCAATACAAAGTGCAGGGCAGCGTAGCCTCATCACCCGCAGAGCATAAGCGGGCCTGTCACAGGAGCGCTGCCGGTCGAGTTTGGGGTCCTTGACAGCTCCCGTCTTAACCAAGCTGGAGCTGAGCTGCTGCCACTTACAAGGAGGGTGGGGTTGACCAAACACTAAAGTGAGCTTTTCCCCGTAGTAGGAAACTGTGGTCATTTGCCTGTAGACACAACTGAGGGGTTTCATGGAAGACCAAGAAGGCTGCCTTATGGGGATTCTCTGGTGGCAACTATCAAAGTTTGTTCAAAAGATATGGGCAAGGGGCCATTGTCACACTTAAGTTTTCCTTCCGCCTTCTATACTAAGGCTGAAGTCATAACTCCTATTCTTAAATGTATTCACTGACTTGAAAAATTGTCTGCCTTTCTTAAAGAAAGGAAAAACCCACTCATGTTCAAATATTCACTGTGGTAGAAACTTGAGGCAATTCTCATGACGTGCATTTGCCTGATTTTTTATTGTTTAACATTCATGTGAGACTCTGGCAGGATAATGGTCCAAGTGATTTAATTACAATGAAAATGAATTTAGCGTGGGTTGAGCAGTGCCAGCTTGGCTGTGGGGACCAAGATCTGTGGATAAATTGAGATACACGCAGCCTACCCCGCCCTCTCACTAAGCCTCCAGATCCCCCAGCCTCTCGGCCTCTCCCTCTGCACCCCTAAATGCAGCAAGAGAGTGCATTCACCACATGATTCAAATCTAAGATCCCCCCTCCAAAAAGACTGCTGAATGTTGGCCAGCTCTCCTTCACCCTCGGGGCGCTGCCCTTTTCATTTATGAGACTGTTAGGAGACTAATGAACTCCAGCTGTGGTTTTACAACCTGGAAACTTCTCTCTCAGAAACTCATCAGAATTGCCCCCACCAACCCATTTCTCACGGGCTGCTGAATAACAGATGGCAAGGGTGTGATCCTTTTCCCTCACTCTCTCCGCTCGTGACCTACAAAATTCAGGGCCTACTGAGTGCTGGGCCCAGAACCACCCATTTCTCTGAGAAATGTTAAATCTGGCCATTCTGCCACCTCGTAAATAAACTTTGGTACTACCTTGTTTTAGTTTGTTTAGGCTGCTGTAACAAAAATACAGTAGATTGGGTGGCTTGAACAAGAGGAATTTTTTTTCTCGTGCTTCTAGAGGCTGAGAAGTCCAAGATCGAGGCAACGGAAGATGTAGTGTCTGGTGAGGGCCCTCTTTCTGGCTTGCAGATGGCTGTCTTTTCCCTGGGTCCTCCCGTGACAGAAGGGGGGGGGTCTCTGATAAGGACATTGATTTCATTCATGAGGGCTCTGCCTGTGTGACCTTATCCCTTCCCAAAGGTCTCATCTCACAATAACCTCACCTTGGGGGTTACTGTTTCAACAGGATTTGGTGGGTGGGGTGGGGGAGGGGGTGCAAACATTCCATCTATAATATGCCTTATACATACTTTTTCAAAATTCCGTGATAAATTACATAGTGCTTTCTAATTTCCAACCAGTTTTGACATCTGCTAACTCATTTCACACTTAGCCTTGTTGTGAGATCAGTCAAGTAAGTCAAACCGGCCCCATTTTTAAAATGCAGAGACGGAGTAAATCTCATGTCTGTCTCTGGGCCTCAGAGTCACACAACTAGTAAGTAGAAATTAGTTTATAAATCTTAAAACCCCAATTTCCGCTGCTAATTGTTTTTCTTCCCCTTTTTGCTGTTGTTTGTTTTCATTTTAATGGGCATCTTTTGATATAAAAGCCAAAGGTACTGTCGTAGGCAGATATTTCCAGCCCGGTAACTTAGGGACTTGGGAAGGATAGAAATAAAAACCACATCTGAGATGTAGAGGGGAGAGAGGAATGAGGAAAACTGGGACCTGTAGTTGTTAATGAGCTGTCCAACTTGATTTTACGGCCTTGTGACTTTTTGATGCTGTAGCAATAAACTTTCTTGCTTATATCATGGCAAATTTTATGTCTCTCAAACTAATTAGATTCTATTAGTACCAACTCTTCACAAATTGAACTCAAATCCATTCCCTGGTTGGCCATAGTGTTGCTTGAAAATAATTCTTAGATGCTTAGAGGACAGGTCACCACCTGCCTGACAGGAAACCTTTGAGATTTGTCCTTCTCCAAGGAGGGCAGTGTCTGTTCTATGCCCAGACACACCCGCGTGTAAGGATGGCCTCAGGCCAAGTGAGTCCTTTTCGTCAAATGCAGTGAATATATCCTGGACGTACTGTTTGTGTCCAAGGAGGCTCACCTTCCCGTTGCCCATGTGGAACAGTGATGTGTCCTGGGATTGTGAACCCCCTGCAGGGCATTAATCCCAGGGAAGCCATAAGAGTCTGCTGACTGGGTGACCCCCACCCCCACCCCCAATAGTTCCCAGTGTAGCTGCCTTCCTTCGGGGCCACAGCTAAAGAGGGGGTAGGAAGTCAAGAAAAAACAGTGATGGAGGAGAGAAGTAAATCAAGGGGAGAAAAGAGCAAGCAAACAAGGTTCTTCACTCCATCTTCCTTTGCCTCCGAAAAAAATTCCCTTACCACTGACTTAGCTGTTGGCCCTGTAGCTTGCCGCCTGCTGTGTGAGGGAGCTGGGGAACTTTCCCTGACCGTCTCTTCAGTACTATTACTTAAGTTTCAATATCACACTTCCAGAAATTTGATTACTGTCAAGAATCCTGTAATCCCCTGCCTAGGCATTTTCAGATCTTAGAGGACATTTCAGTTTGTATTGAAAACACATTACAATGATAGTAGCAGCAAAAGTCAAAACTGTTAATTATCTTCTATGATCCCAGATAGTAAGAAAGTTTCAGTAACATATCAGACACATAAAACGTAACGATACTTTATTTGTGTATGGAAGATGACTTACAAGCATAGAAGAACTCTTTCTGCACATGGCAGAAGGTGGCTTCCCCACAGCTTCCAATTTTGCTTCTTCTACTTAGGTGACCTGGCCTGAGGGGTAGGGCAAGAGGTCAGCTGTCAGAGAAAGGGAGGGAAAGGGCAGGGGAGGGCAGCTATCTCAAAGGTGTCTGCTAAAGATGCAGTGGAGTAATTTCATCTGGTTAAGTATATGTTGAATTTATTGTGCTCTCATTGTCAAATGCAGTGAATATATCCTGGACCTCCTGGAAAGTGGAAGAGAGAAGTTTCTAGTATTCGCACACCATAAGGTAGTCCTGAGTGCAATTACAAGAGAGCTTGAGAAAAAGGTAAGCTCCCTTCAAAATTCAGCACAGGGTGCTGCTTTCGTGTGTTGGCTGCTGAGTGGTTCTGAGCAGGTTGAGGGCAGATCCGAACCAAAGAAGTGAGTTGATGTTTCCAGAAACATTGCTGAAGACTTTCTGAAGAATCCTTCTTGCTTGTAGAACCACAGTGTGGTCAGAATACTTCCCAGCAGTGTCCTTTAACTTCCTCCCTGCTGCTTGCAGCTACCCCTGGAGCTTTGCTTTGAGAACAAGCATCCACTGTGAAGAGTGGATCTTTCATGACTCTGTGTAAATAACTACAAGATTGTCAAGAAAGGAGGTAGCAGAAGTTCTCTTGTGTGGAAACAAGTATTTCTATGAACATCCTCTTCCTTTTGTTCTTCCTTATTACCGTCAAAGTGGCTTTATTAACCGTCCGTGGCAGTGTGCAGACTTCAGTAGAGCTTGTGGCCCTTATCACATTGAATGAACAATACCCAGAAAGATTTCCAAGGACGTTCATTAAAACTAAACACATCAAATTAAGAAACAAAACTTGTGAAGTTCTAACATTTCACATGGAAATGCTGCCCAATCTTCACCAGCTTCTGCGTGTAGAATTAGAGCAGCTAAACACATTGTATTTTCACCTCCCTTTTCATTTTTGGTTAAATTTAGGACCATAAATTGCTTTTTGACTTCCTTCATCTTTATTACATTTTATGTAATGTTTCTTTTCTTTTCTTTTTTTAAGAGAGTGTGTGTACTGTGCGCAGTAGGGGAGGGGCAGAGGGAGAGAGAGAATCTGAGTGCAGAGCCCAAGACGGGGCTCGAGCCCATGACCTGGAGGTCATGACCCAAGACAGAATCGAGAACTGGCGGCTGAACCGGCTGAGCCACCCAGGTGCCCTTGTAACATTTCAAACATGGGGAGGAGTACAGAGAAACATAAAGCAGCCACTTGTGTGTCCTCCACCCAGATTTAATAAATTGTTTTGCTATATTTATTTCAAAGTGTGTATTTTAAGTAATAACATACTTAGGCCCCTCAGCAGCCCTCTGATTCATTCTCTGTCCTCCTCCCTAGATGTAAGCACTGTCCCCAATCCTTCCCTCCATGTTGTCATGCTTTACTCCAAAGTATATATAGTCTCCTCTGTATGTATTTTTTAACATACATAAATGGCAGCATAGTGTGAGTATCCTGAAATTTGCCTTTTCGCTCAATGTTATTTTTGAAATTTTTCCATGTAGTATTATAGCTGTAGCTCATTCACCATAAATGTGACTGTAGCACAGTTTATCCATTCTCCTGCTGAGGGACATGGAATTTTATTTACAGTTTTTGCTATTATATGAATACTTTCATATACATGTGTGTACATGCATGTGCATGTACGTGTGGGCATGTCCATGCATGATCTTGTATAACCATTGGATAGGCTCATCCTCAACTCTACTAGGTATTGTCAGATTTCTCCCCAAGGTGGTAATTCACATTTATAATCGCACCAGCAGCATTTGGAAATTCCTACTGTTCTGAGTGCTAACACTTCGTATTATCAGACTTTTTACTTTTGCCACTCCAGTGAAATGAAATTTCGGCTCTTTCTTATGTTAATTCGCATTTCCCTCACTACCACTAACAGTTGTATCCTTTTATGTGTTTATTGGTGATTTCCCCAGGCTCTCTTCTGTAAATATTCTGCCTGTTTTCCTGTTAGATGGTTTGTCTTTCTCTTACTGATTTGGAAATATTCTTTATCAATTCTGGATATTTATCACATAACATTTTTTTCTTTTCATTTTGTTGAAGTTTTATTGAGCAGCATGTTTAATTTTTACTTTAGTTGTTATAACTGAAATACATTTCAAGTTTATTAGTTTTTCTTATATGGTTTTTAAATTTTTTTTTAAGATTTTATTTATTTATTTATTTGAGAGAGAGAGAATGAGAGATAGAGAGCACAAGAGGGAAGAGGGTCAGAGGGAGAAGCAGACCCCCTGCTGAGCAGGGAGCCCGATGCGGGACTCGATCCCAGGACTCCAGGATCATGACCTGAGCCGAAGGCAGTCGCTTAACCAACTGAGCCACCCAGGCGCCCTGGTTTTTAATTTTTATGAATGATTTAAGAAATCTTTCCCTACTTAAGGTCATAAAGATTTTCTCCAGTGATTTTTTTTTTCCTGAGAATTTTAGAGGTGGTTCATTAATCCACCTGGGCTTGAATTTTGTATATGATGTGATGCCAGAAGCCAGCCAAAGGAATTAAAAGCTGTGATCCCTGGATAGGAAAAATCAGAGCTGTCACTATATTCAAGCAACTCAAGACAGTTAATTGGAAAACTATCAGAATGCATAAGAGTTTAACAGGGCACCTAGATTCCAAATAAATATACTAAAATAAATTGCTTTCTTTATGTACCAGCTATAACTAATTAGTAAATACAATGGAAAAACGATCAAATTCGGAGCAACAAAAATGTATAAAGTACCTAATAGTCACCTCACCAAGAAGACTGTAGAAACCAATGAAGAACTGGAGAGACTTGGGCCATGCTTCAGTGTAAACACTGTAAAAATACTGGTCCTTCCCAGATGAATTCGTAGGCTTGACTCAATCCAAATAAAAATTCCAATTGGTTATTTTAAGGGAACCTTATATCATTATGCTAAAGGGGTCTCAAAAAATAAGCAGGAGAGATATCTAAGACAACTTTGAAAAAGAAGAACAATGTGCCTCCAGATATTAAAATCTGTTATAAAACTCAGCCATGCTAGTCTGAGAACTGGTGGTCAGATGGGTGGAATAGAATGGATAGCCCTCTTTAGTATTAATAACTCTTCAGTTGAATGGCCCTTTAGTATAAAAAGACAATGTATAATCAAGGAATCATCAAAAATTAGGCTTAATTTATTCAACAAATAAAGTTTGGGTAATTGACTAAGTAATTGGGTGGAATACTTAAATGAAACTCAGCTTCACTGTTTATTAAATTTCAGACAAATCAAAGCTCATTAAAACCATAAAGCATTAGAAGAAACTATAGATGAATGTATAGCTGATCACTGGGTAGGGAATGACTTTCTAAACATAAAAACAATGAGGGGTGCCTTGGTGGCTCAGACGGTTAAGTGTCTGCCTTCGGCTCAGGTCATGATCCCAGGGTCCTGGGATCAAGCCCCACATTGGGCTCCCTGCTGAGCAGGGAGCCTGCTTCTCCCTCTGCCTCTGACCCACCCCCTTGCTTGTGCCCTCTCTCTCTGTCAAATAAATAAAATCTTTAAATAAATAAATAAACATAAAAACAATGAAAGAAATCACAAAGGAAAAAAATTGATTTAAATTACCTAAAACTATGGATCTGTTCTGTCACATACACACAGTGGCTAGACCATGGGGGTTTTTTGTACATTTGGTACCTTTTCACGGGGCAATTTGGCAGTAACTTAATGCACACTCAACTTTTTCCAAGCTTGTCTTCTAGGAATTTATCCTAAGGAAATAATGAGACCAAAGATTTATGTATAAGATTAGTGATATTATTATTTATAATATTGAATAATTAGAAACCTAAATGTTTTCAGTAGGCATACTGTTAAATAGTAGTCTGTTTAAGCATAAAACATAATAATGTAGATCCATGGGTCTTTGTGGAGATCACAGGACCCTTTAAGAACCTAAGATATGAAAAAATGTGCAGCGCTTACTATTGATAATAGTGCAGTGAGCTGGACATGCTCATACATTACTTATTGGAAAGCAATTTGGTGATAATATCAGGATCCTTAAGTCTTTGCCTCTTGTCAAAGTATTTTGATTTTTAGTAGTATAGTCTAAGGAAATAACCAAATATGGGCGAAGAACCATGAACAGGTTTATTTTAACCCATCCTTTAAAAATTTTTTTATTCTAATAGCTTTATAGAGATCTAATTGCCGTGCAATAAACTGCATCTAGAGTGTGCAGTTTGGTAAGAATCAAGACAGTGAAGGGGCACCTGGGTGGCTCAGTTGGTTAAGCATCAGCTCTTGATCTCAGCTCAGATCTTGATCTCAGGCTTGTGCGTTCAAGCCCATAGTGAGTGTGTCTGTTGGCCCCAGGGTTTCCTTGTGCTCTTTGTAATCCCTCCTGTTTTTCCCTTCCCTCCCATCTCCAGGCCACCACAGATCTGCTCTCTGTCCCTCTAAATTAATTTGCATTTTTAGGGCTTTGTATAAATGTGGAATGATTCAGTGTGTACTCTTTTTTAAATTTGATTTCTCTCAACATATTTTGAGACTCATATCTGTTATTGCATGTATCATCTGTGCATTCCTTCTTTTTTGCGGAGTCATATTCTGTTGTATGTATATACCATGATTTTTATCCATTCACCTGTTTGTGGATGTTCGCCAACCCATCTTTTTTAGTGAAAATGAAGAATCCCCCAGGGGTGCCTGGGTGGCTCAGTTGGTTAAGCGTCCAACTCTTGGTTTCAGCTCAGGTCATGATCTCAGGGTTGTGAGATGGAGCACTGAGTCAGGCTCTGTGCTCAGCAGGGAGTCCGCTTGAGATTCTCTCCCTCTGCCCCTCCCCCTACTCATAGTCTCTCTGTCTCTCTCAAATAAATAAATCTTTAAAAAAACAAAAAGAATCTCCCAAATATGAAGAAATACACGAATGGATAAATTATACTATTGCCACAAAATATTATGTGGACATTAAAAATCATGTTTTGGAAAACTTTAATAATTTAGTTCATTTTCAATACAATGTTTATTGGAGGAAAGCAGGATATAAAACTTTGTGTTTAAAAGCTATCATACACATTGAGAAGAGAGCGCCTGGCAAAAATAGATTGGTAATAGGAGCACCTGGGTGGTTCATTCAGTTAAGCGTCTGCCTTCGGCTCAGGTCATGATCCCAGGGTCCTGGGATTGAGCCCCACGTGCGGTGTCTCTGCTGAGCAGGGAGCCTGCTTCTCCCTCTCCCTGTGCCTGATACTCCCCCTGCTTGTGTGCTCTTTCTCTCTCTCTCTCTCTCTGTCAAATAAAATCTTTAAGAAAAAATAGATTGATAATAGTCCTGATATTTGTATTTCCTTTGTAATGTTTGTCTTTATCATTAGGAAAAAAAAAATGGATAAATGCCTCCTAAAAGAAAATAAAACTCAACTGGACATGCAAGGAGCATGTGGCCCAGCAGCCGACTCCTGGGCATTCATCTCAGATTAGTGAAAACTTGTGTTTACATGGAAACTTATATATAGATGTTCATGGCAGCTTGATTTGTAGTAGCCCCAAACTGGAGCCAGCCCACATATTCGTCCAGAGGTGAAGGGCCACACTGTGGTACGGCCACACCACGGAATACTACTCAGCAGTAAGAAAGGAAGGAGCTACCACCGCACGCAGCGCCCTGGTTAGATTTCCAGGGAATGATGCCGAGTGAAAAAAAGCCCGTCCCAAAAGGTTGCCCACCATATGACTCCATTGATATAACATTCCTGAAGTGAAAGGCACCTGGGAATGGGGCAGGGAGCAGGAGGGAGGTGGGTGTGGTTGTAAAAGGGCCATAGAAGAATCCTTGTGGTGTTAGAACTGTTCAGCGTCTCTTTTTCTTCTTTTTTTTTTAAGTAAGCTCTATGCCCACATGGGGCTTGAACTCACAACCCCGAGATCGGGAGTCTCATGCTCTACCCACTGAGCCAGCCAGGTGCCCCATAACTGTTCAGTGTCTTGACTGTGAAGGCAGATACATGAAAAGCCACAGGAGTGATACCATTGTGTAGGATACACACATAAGTTTAAGTAAAACAGGACATCTGAGTAAGATGAGTACATCGTATCAAAGTCAATATCCTGGTGCTATTTGTTATATGCTATAACAAAATATTACCCCTGGGAGAAAGTGGGCCAGATGTGCAAGAAATCCCTGTATATTTGCTTAAACTAAAGGGAATCTACAGTTCTCTCAACACAAATTTGTCAATTTGAAATGAAAAGACAAGCAGCTCCGAAAGCAGTGTCAAGTGAAGACTTGATGCACTGGCAGGTCTAAGCCAGCATGGCAGCGTGGCTGTGTCCTTGGGGCCGCGGCCGCCGAGCCCCGGGCCCCCATGCAGCCCACCTCGCCTCCCCCCTTGTCCCCGCAGCACGTGCCGCACATCCGCATTGACGGCTCCACCTCGTCAGCAGACCGAGAGGACCTGTGCCAGCAGTTCCATCTGTTCGAGAAGCACGCCGTGGCCGTGCTGTCCATCACCGCTGCCAACATGGGCCTCACCTTCTCCTCGGCTGACCTGGTGGTGTTTGCCGAGCTGTTCTGGAATCCAGGGGTAAGGGACACAGGAGACAGGAGTGAGGGTCAGTCTGGGCAGACAGGGTTGCCGGGAGCTGTCCCTAGCACCAATTTTTGTTTTTGTTTTTTAAATTTTATTTTATTATGTTAGTCACCATACAATACATCATTAGTTTTTGATGTGGTGATCCACGATTCATTGTTTTCATATAACACCCAGTGCTCCATGCAGTACGTGCCCTCCTTAATACCCATCTCCAGGCTAACCCATCCCCCCACCCCCCTCCCCTCTAA